ATGTCAGGCCACCCAACAACCCCCGAGGTTTGAAGTCGTGGGTTAATCGTGAGCCTCTTGCTCTGGCCGCTTGACCATTTATTTACCGTTTCCAGTATTGATCGATACCCAGTGTTGCATATATAGCGAGCCTCATGCCGAGATTCCTCTGTTGTATAATAATGTATCATTATATAGAAATAAATCTATCATTTGTTGTGGTTGACTGTCTAAGCACTAGAGAGGTAGTCCAGCATCTAACCTCTAGCAATACATTATGCGCCACTAGTCAAGTGGGATATGGGTTTCTTAAGGTCTCAAAGAGTTTGAGCCCGCTATTTGGTCTTCCTCCAGTCACAGCTTCAACCAGTTGGCGTGTGATACTTGATGTTGTATGCTCAATAATCCAACTGTGCGGCCGTGATGCTGCTAAGTTTCAGGCAATTGATTTGCCATGTAGTTTCTCATCATATCATCATGTTCGTCCATGTATAGAACATGCCCGGCACATCATATACAATCCCGGCTTAACAGACATGATGGCCAGGGTGCTCGCCGTTCTCATGCAATGGTAGGCCATCCGGATGTCCGTGGTAAGGATCCGATGTCGGAATCATGCCAACGTCTTCCTTCAAGTAGAGAACAAAGCGGAATGCAGAATTTCCATTGAGATAGTAACGATGCAGCTGCTTGCTCCTGAGAAATCCCAGGCGCTCATACAGCTTCATGGCCGGCGAATTTGTAATCTCGGTCTCTAGGACAATCTACATCCAGGCGAACGGTCAGTAATCAACACTTCTATATATATACAACAGGCAGCATACCTCATCCGCATCTCTCTCTATCATGGCATCCATGGCCAAACGGACCAGCTTGGTAGCTATCCCTTTCCCTCTATGCTCCTCCTGTACCGCAAGCATGGCTATGTATCCTCTCAACGGCCCACCACGATGCGGTTCCAGCTTCGATACAACGACGCCAACCAACTTGTCCTTCTCGTCCATCGCCATGAAGCAGAGATCCCCCCATTCGTAGAGAAAGTAGCGGTAGACGTAGATGCTGTACGGCTCGGAGAGATCCTGGGATATCAACTGGCGCATCGCGGGGACATACTCGTTCTCCTTCGCCGCCTCATACTGGACATAGCGGAACTGCGACGGGGCGTCGGCCATCGCAGATCTGACAGGCTCGAGGTATCCGCGAGCCGCTCGAGCAGGTCGAAAAGCGCCCAAGGTGGGTGTTGGTTGTATCGTCGTTTTAAATCTCGAAGGTTTCGACTTTTCCCACTGATTCTTCTTACATCATCACCAGGTCGAGCTTTCGTGTCTTCTCTTCCTCGCCCTTCGCCCCCTTCTTCTCTGCCTCCCTAGCTCGTTTTCTCTTCGGCCGTATATCGTGAGTATTCTATTCGTCTCTTTCTCTCCCCTCGAAGCTGTCAGGCGCATTGGTGCAGACGTTGGCGTTTTAGTTAACTATTCCATGTGATTAACACTAAAGGTTCGCCCGCTAACTACGTTATTTCTATCTCGAAAGACAAAATCCTCCCCTTGCTACCTGAAGACAGACGAGAGACCCCTGGTTAGCTATCTTTAGTCTTCGATATTCGCTTACGGAGGGTCATGAGCAGTCGATAGGCGTCTGTCTAGCTTACGCGCGCCTGTTTTTGCACTATATTTTTATTATGGCGGAACTGCGACGTCGGGTTGGCGCAGACCTCGTATCTACATCTACCAACGACGAGAACACTCCCTCGAATGCGAATTCTTCATCGAAAGTTATAGCCTCAGAGAAAGTGACAGAAGCGCCCAAGGCGGAAGATAATTGCTATAACAAGGTCGAGAAGGAGGTCGTATACGTCCAGGCATCCTCGAAACCGGAGGACGCGGTTCCCCCGAAGAGAAGAAGTAAGCGACGGAATGGATTGATATTCGGGCTTGGAGGGATCTTTGGGATATTTGTGGCGCTATTCTTCGCAAATCAGAATGAGGTTATCAGCTTAGATGCACTGCTGGATCTCAATATCGACTCGCTGATCGATGTTATACCTGCAGGCATTGTCCGAGATGCAAAAGAGTTTTCAGTAAGCTGCCCTTTTTTCGTGACATAACATGCATATACTGACTTGATAACAGCAAAGCGAGCGTGAGACAGTTAGCTATGATTCATTTTCAGTGGGGTTACATTTGCAGGCGCAGGGGATTAAGGCTACTCACCCAGTCATCATGATACCCGGAGTGATATCCACTGGCCTTGAGAGCTGGGGGACGGATGAAAAGTCAAGACCGTACTTCCGAAAGCGTCTCTGGGGCAGTTGGAGTATGATGCGTGCACTAGTCCTTGACACTGCAGGCTGGAAGAGCAATATCATGCTGGATAAAGAGACCGGGCTCGATCCGCCTGGAGTCAAGCTACGAGCTGCTCAGGGCTTTGATGCAACGGATTTTTTCATCACAGGCTCCTGGATTTGGAATAAGATATTGGAAAACCTGGCGACAATAGGATATGACCCGACAAATGCATATTCAGCTGCATACGACTGGAGGCTTTCATATCTTAACCTAGAGCATAGAGACCACTACTTTAGCAGGCTCAAGGACCACATCGAAACTGCAGTGAAGCTGAACGGGAAGAAAGTGGTCCTTGTCTCACATAGTATGGGATCACAGGTAGCTCTATTCTTCTTCAAATGGGCTGAACACCAGGGCTACGGCAACGGTGGCCCAGACTGGGTCGATCGTCACATTGCATCTTGGATCAATGTCAGCGGCTGCATGCTGGGTGCTTCCAAGGGCCTTACAGCAGTACTATCCGGAGAGATGCGAGATACCGCCCAACTCAACGCCTTTGCAGTCTACGGCCTGGAGAAATTCCTGTCCAAAGAAGAACGGGCTGAGATCTTCCGCGCCATGCCGGGTATTTCCAGCATGTTACCCAAGGGCGGCAACGAAGTATGGGGCAACCATACCTGGGCACCAGACGACTTCCCCAATCAACCAGTAACTAACGGCAACCTACTGAACTTCCGGTCAAACAGCACACTCACAGCTGCCTCGAGGCATAATTTCACTGTTGAAGACGGCCTAGCTTATTTGTACAACATTTCCGAACCATGGTATCGCAACCAGCTTGACGAGAACTACTCCCACGGCGTTGCCCATACAGCTGCAGAAGTCGAGGCGAACGAAAACGATCCCCGTAAATGGCTGAATCCGCTTGAAGTCCGCCTCCCTCTAGCTCCTAATATGAAAATATACTCGTTCTACGGCGTCGGCAAGCCAACGGAACGAAGCTACTTTTACCGTGAGGAAGTTGATCCCTTGTCGAAACTGAATTTGACCATGGACACTTCTGTGATGGAAGGGGAAGGGGAAGGACACGTTGATCGGGGCGTTGTTATGAACGAGGGCGATGGGACGGTTAATCTTCTTAGCTTGGGGTATATGGGTACTCGTGGATGGAGGATTAAGAGGTATAACCCGGCCGGAATACCGATTAAAGTGTACGAGATGCCTCATGAGCCTGAACGGTTCTCGCCGCGTGGGGGTCCTAATACAGGTAAGCTTTTCGCCCCCATCTGGAGGATCCGGTTACATACATACATGTATGCATGCATGCATGCATGTACCTGTGTTTGCTACTTTGATAATGCTAACTGTTGATAGCCGATCACGTTGATATCTTGGGCCGAGCATCTTTGAATGACTTGATTCTGCGTGTTGCAGGGGGTAAAGGCGATTCTATAGAGGAGAATTACGTCTCTCGCATCAAGGAGATAGCTAGTCAAGTGAAGATATATGATGACGAGTAGATATATATATAGATATCTGCCGTTTTTCACATGATACAGGGTGGTGGAGTTGGACACTTGCTTGGATTACTCAGTTTCAGCAGTTGATGTATATATAAATGGCTTTTCCGCCACTCACCGTAGCCAGATAGCTAGGGATACAATACTTTTTAATGAAACGAAATAAACAAGCGGAGAAAAAGTACAAGGGCAAAAGTCATGTTCTCGTAAAATCAGTGAATTAGGTATTATGCTAATACAATACACGCTACTCGGCAGATATGCAAGTAGCCGCTGGGATAAAATAATTACATCATGATCAAGTCAAGTCAAGCAAGCAGTAACGAAGCAGCTGGCGAAGGCGGGGCGGATGCCGGAGCTGGAAGAATGGCCGCCGGGAATATCACAAGGCTAAAATAGATCGCTCGCTTGCAATAAAGGATAATGGAGCAAAGTTGTAAAAAGGTAAAAAGTGTAAGGGGGTATAGATCTGCGTGTGCGTATGTATGTGAGGCATGTCCGGCCAACACACTTGCTGCTTGCTTGCTTGCTTTCTCTCTTTTGCATTTCATGATAGAACCGCAGTGTGTTCTCTCTGTCGGTGTGGTTGTGTTTATTTGCATCCGTATTCCAAAGTTCGGAGCTGTATATTCTGCTCCCCCATATCTCCAGGGACAACCACCTCACCTCCATCCTCATCCTCAATCAACATCGTTAATCGACCAACCTTCCGACCCAAGAAAAAAGAAGAAAATGAAAACGATAGTGTTCAAAACGAACGTATTCCGCTTAGATAGATTTCTGCAGTCCACAGAGCGAGTGTAAGGGGGAAAAAAGTGGTATAACCGTCACCGTCACCGTCACCGTCACCACCAACTCCATTAACACCGATCCAAAATGCCCCTTTTGGCCCCTCCATCCGTTCCAATCCAATTATGCGGTCCGGTAAGTTAAGCACCTTTTGATCCAAAAAGAAAAACATATGTATATCCCATCTCAGGCTGCGTGGTAAGAATAAGCACGCGAGCCAGTTTGAAAGGGTAGATAGTATGTTGATATGTGTCGTGCGTCGTATCCAAGCGATGAATGGGCGGGTAAGTGATAGTTAAACCGAATCCATTCTCGACCGTTTCCAACCCTTTCTGATCTCCCGTTCCCTGTGCGGTCGTTGATTAAAACATTATCGTATCGTATGTTTGTAAGTTTGTTTGTTCCTGATATTTTATTGTGGTACTCATCTCGAGATACCGAGGCCGGTCTCGAGGTCTGAAGAGCGTTTAGGAATGCCGTCTGCCTCGCCGCCCCATGCCGATTGTTCGTCGACTGGGCTTAATGAACCGGATGAAATGGATGAGCTGGATCCGACTGTCCACTCATCACTGTCCATCTGCAGGCCATCAGCAATGTCATAGCCGTACGAGCCAGGCATGCTCATATCGGCACTGCCGATTTCGACATAGTCGTAGTCCCAGCGAGTGAACTTGTCGGCTTGCACGCGTGGGAGGAAGCGGGACTTGACGTAGTAGAATGTAACGGCAGCAAGGAGACCGCCGCCAATAAGGTCGACAGCGTAGTGGTGGGAAAGGTACATCGTTGACCACCAGAGCCAGACGACGTAGGTGATGAAGACAGGCTTTAGTTTTGGGAATGCATGGCTCATGAAGAGAGCTTCAAAGGTGGCATGACCGGCATGGAGGGATGGAAAGGCGCCAAAGGGAACTGGTGCGGCAGAGAAGCCAGAGGTGTAGAGATCAATGCCGAACAGGGCATCGATGCGTGCTAGACCACCAGGGTCTCCTGGCATGCCGTAGTGGGCTGGCGCAAGACCGTAAAGGTTTTCATACCAAGGTGGAGAGCAAGGGAAGAGGAACTGGATGATGACACCCGCAATGTTCATGTATCCGAAGCTGCGAGCAAAGATGGGGGTTGCCGGGCGGGCCAAAGATGAAGAGGAAGATGGCGCAGACAACGGGAGCACCGTAATGCATGATGCCGTAGGGGAGCCATGCGAGCAGGTCTAGAGCGGTAGACTGGTGAGCTGAGAGGATGTTTGACAAGTTTGCGCCGTAGATGATGTTTTCCAGGGCAGGCAGGACGCGAACCCAAATCGGCGGCCGCCAGTCACTCGGGATGAATCTATAGTTATTGATCATTTTTAGTATATGTAATTCCTCCCCCTTATTTTGTTATTCTGGTGTTTCAGGATGTTAGAGAAGGGCCAACTCACTGGCAAGCATAGAAGAATACCAACCAGCAAATTGGTGGCAGAAAGGGAAGAAAGAACTGGCATGTTATTGGCATCAACAGCGAGCTTATCAGGCCTAGGGCTACGATGGTCTTTGCCAGTGGTCCTGGCGACTGGATGATGCAGAGGGAGAAGATGCCAAGGACGACCAGCACGAGATACTGGCCATCGTATATGGTCCATCTATGAGCCTGCAACGCCTTGAGGGTGTCTAGGGGCGAGAACGAGGTAGAGAGCCGAGTGATGGAGGAAGACGGCGATGTTCTCGACCGCAGTTTGGACCTGATGCGGCGGCGGAGGCGTGAAGGAAAGGGCAGAAGAAGTTGAAGCGAGCGCCATGGTATCAGGAGCGGCGGTTTCGCGAACGGATGGTCCTTCCAGGAGGCCATCTTTTTGTTTGTGAGCTGTCTCTCTCTCTCTCTCTCTCTCTCTTTCTCGGCGTCGTGGAGGTCGTCGTGGAGGTCGTCGTCGTTCGTCGTCGGCGTAGAAGTGCTGCTAGGCTGTCTCTGAGTCGATCCCGTCAATTGGTAGCGGGTGTCTCTTGGCTGCTCTCAAACCGGTGCTGGTCTCGTGTGTCTGTCCGTCTGTCCGTCTTGCTTCGGGGATGGGGGCAAAAGGAGTGTGTAAGACGAAGCCAGGCAGATGCCACAGCCAGCACAGGCAGCCCGAACGAGCAACGCAGCGCAGGCGAGCAACCCGAGGACGGCGAGGGCGAGGGCGAGGGAGGGTCAGGCAGGTCGAACGAGACAGAAGAGAGGCAGCACAGCAGGCAGGCGAGCGGGAGGTGCAGCAAGAAGTCGACGGGAGAGATTTCGGCCTGCTCTTAACCTGCAGCAAAAAGCAACGCAGGAGCGCAAAAAGGGCCGCTGACATAAGCAGGGAGCTCTTGGGTAGCGGCCTGGCGTCACGTACGGTAACGGGCTGTAACGGAGGCCAAGGCTGGCGTGGAGCCGGGCGGTAAGGGCGTGACGGTACCGTACGGTATGCGGATGCTTCGGATGGGGGAGCGATGCAGAGTGACTTTGCTGCTCACTGTAATTTGCTAGCGAAGGGAAGTCACTCGGCATCGGCTGGAGCAGCATCAAATCTCCCTGCTCGTATCTCGCACTCAGCCTCTTCCATGCGCGGTGCTGGTGCTGGTGCTGGTCGACCCAAGAGCGCTGCCCAGAGGGATGTGCGCGCGGCGTGAAACGAATTATTCATCCTTCCTGGAGCGCAGCCGTCGCAGCCCAGGCTTGGGAGCAAATAGTCGGCTGGAACTATACAGCGTCCTGCATCGTCAGCTCCAGTGGCCATGCAGGGTCATAGTACTCCGTACTTGTATATTATATTATATACTTACAGAATCTCTTACTGTAAATGTTGGTGGTGTTGGGTTGGGCCAGGGTCCAAAATTACCAAAGTGTTCAAGCATATAATCGTATCCTCCTGCTAGTTTCCAGCATCCCAGCAGGAGCTAACAGAAAAAAACTTCTTTGCGAGCGAAGCGACAGGCGGGCGTTCGGGCGCCAGATCTTCCGTCTTGACCAGCGGTTCCTCCTTCGCGACGTTACAGGGCTGGTCCCTCTTTCGCCCCGAGTCCCCGAACCCCGAAATGAGGTCACGGTGCGTCAAGGCTGCCGGCTGCAAGACGTTGCGTATCGAACGGCGGCGTATCTATACGTGGCTCCGTCGAGGGGCGGGACGATGGAGATGGCAAAGCTGCATTCCTGTACGTACGTCAATTCTATTGTTTTTTCCTGCGTGTGAAAGACGGCAGGTCGACTCGCGTGATCCTGCAAGCGACTTTTGGCCTGTCGCAGTGTCGATCGCCTTGGAGATGGCGCTGTCAGAATCGAGGATGGAGTTACTGGACAGGCAACCCCCTAGTTCAGCACGCTTTAACCCATGGATCAGCCAAAGCAAAAAATGGACATGCCATCGCAGCCGAAGCAGTAAAATTACTACTAGTCATAGTCAAATAATATTAAAGCTCCGTCTGTCATTGAAGTTTTTTTTTTTCTTTCGTTTTTTGCTTTTCTTCTTCTTTTTTGCTGCGTTTTTTTCGTGTTTTTTTGCTCGCGTGAGAGAAAAATTACGTGCATAAAAAAGGGATGCATAAAAGCTGCATAAAAGAGAGCACAACGCTATTGTTTACGTGATTATGTAAGACGCACTATCTCGTTGAACCTCGGCTGAAAAATTTTTAGTCACAGAAAAGATTCATAGATTGAAAGACTGAAAGATTGCAACATAAAGCATAATACATAGTATAACGCATTTAACATCTGATGGATGGCATGTCTGGGTAGTCATTGCTCTTGTTATTTGTTTCGTAACATAGCTTGGGTAAAATAAAAAAATAAAATAACATAAAAATCATAGAAAGGTTAAGCTTAACTAGCTCTTGTCAACCGCCTTTTCCGACTCCGAGACTTCCGCCTCCTCGCTTCTCTTCTCGTCGTGTGATCTTCCTACCATGCCGGACTCAAGGTCTTCCTTTCCTGCATGCTCTTGTTCACCGTCGTGAAGATGTCCGGCCACCTTGGCCAGCTCGAATTTGCGGCCTCTCATCTCTGGTCCAAAGGCGGTGGTGACCATGATACCCAATGCAATGATGGCTGTGGCTACTCCCATGGTGGCGCCATAGGCTGGCGCTGGCTTGCCGTTGTCTCCTCTAACGCTCACAGACTCTGCGACGGCGTTGACGATCTGCGCGGACGGGGATGAGATCATGTTGCCAAGCTGGTATGTCAGGCCCGGGAAACTGGATCGGTAGGCAGGGGGGGAGAGCTCGTTGAGATGGATGGGGATGACGCCCCATGCACCCTGGACGAAGAACTGCATCATGAAGCCCGAGGCGGAGAGGGAACGTTCGCCGTGCGGGAGAATCCAGGCAGGTATCAAGATGCCTGATATGAGAGCGGAGAGGACCATGGATCGACGACGGCCGAACCACTGGGACATGTAGCCGATGATGGTACCACCAACACAGGCGCCGGCTTTCATGAGGATGGATGCCCGGGAGGCAGCAGAGTTGTTGAGGGCCTTTTGGGTGAGCATGAAGGTGGTGTAGCTGTCCTGGGAAGTATGGCTGTAGAAGTTGAACCAGGTCATGAGGAAGATGCAGTATATCACCAGCTTCCAGTCCTTGGCCAGCATCTCCTTGGTATCTCTCCAGAATTTACCGGGCGAGGCACCGCTCTTCTTGCCCTCCTTACGCTCCTTGCGCGCAGCCAGGAACTGCTTTGACTCGGGCAGGAAAATTCGAATAACGCCAGACAAGCATGAGATGCCGGCTCCGATCCAGAAGACGACCTTCCATGAGTCCGTGCCGCCGCCGACTCCCAGGTTGGCGCATGCTGCAAAGACATAGCCCATCGAGTAGCCCTGCTGGAGGATGCCGGACATCAGCCCTCTGGCCTCGACGGGACAGTTCTCCAGGGCCATGGCAATAGCGTTACCGTATACACCGCCCATGAAGAGACCAAACAGACTCCTAACGGCCAGGAACTGGGAGAAGGTAGCGCAGTAGATGGTTGCGATCTGGAGGGCGCCCAGGATGAGCATGTTGGCCACCATGGGCCACTTACGGCCCCATCTGTCTCCGGCCAGGCCAAACACGGCTGCTCCAACTGATCTGAGCAAGAGAGTCAAGGTGATGGCTGTAGAGATGGAGGTCTTGCTGCGGTGGAAGTACTTTGATAGCTTGACGGTCTGGATCGACAGAGCGTGGAAGTCGAACGCATCGCAGATCCAGGCGAACAAGCCGGCCAGGAAGAAGAGCCAGTTGCTTGCCGACAGCTGGGCAGCCATGGCGAACGGGTTCTTGAGCGGCTCCGGGTCGCGATACTCGACTGTGGTGACGCCGGTGACGGGGTCTGTCTCCTCGACTCTGACCTTCCAGTTGAACAGGTCGCGGAGGCACTCCATGGGCGACTGCCGGAGGTTCTTGTTGCTGTCGTCTGTAGCCATCTTTGGGCCGAGGAACGTAACAAGTCTGATGATATAGATAGACGAAGCCAAAGTAACTAGCTGGCTGGCTGGACTGTCTGTCTGTCTGTCTTGACGGTGGAGGTCCAGCTGAAGGTGAAGGTGGAGTTTTGGTGAAGCTGAAGGGCCGGCCTTTTTATTATTATCGCTTGGTGACTTGACTTCTTATACTTTGCAGCCCTCGAGTCGATGACGGCAGAGGCCCTTTGCCTTCTCTAAGCTCAGCCAGACTTGAGAAGAAGAAAGAGAAGAAGAAGTAGAAAGGATCAGAGAGCGCGGAAGAGCAGAGAAGATCCGTCCTTTAAGTGCCTGCCTACAGTAATGCTAGCGAAGTGACTAGTTATCGCTATCCCACCCTCCATCCCCCCCCTTGCTTGCATGACGGAGCCCGTCGCTCATCCACTGTGGAGAGACCAACCAGGGGGCCGAGCAGGAAAGCGACTTCTGCGGACTCTTCACCGTCGCACTGCATGAAGAGTCGAAGGAAGGGAAGCGGAAAATGACCAGGCTATGTTACCCTTGCCTGCTACTGGAGCTGCTACCTGCATAGATAGTCATCTCTCTTCTACGGCTTCACCTTCATTTCATCTTCATCTCCCCAAGCTGCTCCCTTTGAGTATATACAGACCTGAGCCATGGGCCGTCCCCCCCTTCGCCCTTCGCCTCCGCTCGATGTCACTCCCCGATGTCACTTACTATCTACCCGCTGCGATCTTCAAGGAGCCAAGGCCGAGGCCAAAATGCTTGTCTCGACTTAGCTAGCGAGGGCATCGTACGAGCTTTGGTCGGACGTTTGGCCGGCAAAAGCGACGCCAACACAGATACATAAAAGGACACCCTCAAACAGGGCCAGCCCCCGACTCCATCAAGGCCAGGCCATGTGGGCTGCCGGAGACACCAGAGGCGCCCGCCGCAGAGACGCTGGAGCTGTTGCTGTTTATTCTCTCTCAACCGGTTGGCTGACGGCTAGCTACTCCGTAGGTTGTTGGTGCGAACCCCTGGATTATAGCTGGGCTCGCCTAAGGCGCCAGCGACGTTCAACTGACCGTCCTACTTGAGACGGCTGTTGGATACATAAAGTAAGCTACTTGAACTACCAAGGGCTACCTGCTTCCAAGGTAGCACGGCTCGGAGCATCCGTCCGATTTCTTGTCACTCTGTCAGTCGTTGTTATTATTCGTCGCCCCCAAAAGCGTATCTCTTGCCCGTCTCCATAGCCGTCAGAGCGGGATACGAGGGGATGGCATATAACTAACTACATGACTGGCGCATTTGGCCTGGGGTTCACTGCGATTCCGGAGATGGCGCCGTGGGGAAGAGTCAGCTAAGTGGTTATAATAATAATAATACGGAGTAACTACTGATTAGTTAGTTGGTTAGCTGGTTGGCGGGCGGCCGTATAATTCAATAAGACGGCGTGGAGACTCTCAGGCAGGAAGAGAGCAGGTTTCCTGTTTTCCGAAGGGGTTCAAGCGACGACGGTCAAACGGATGAAAGCTGCGGGTAAAGCAAGCAACACATAACTAAAAATAATGGATGTCTCTGTGCGAAAGATTTGAGATTTCCCAGCTAATAATTTAATAATGGTACATCAAAGGGTGAGGATGGATCATGGCAAAGCGCCGCCAGTCACACATAGTTACATCCCTTTCATCCTTTCATCCAGGCCGATTTGAACCAGGGATGCTCCAGCGCCTCTGCCGCAGTGATTCTCCTCGATGGGTCCAGGCAGGTCATCTTGCCTACCAAGTTTTTCAGTTGGGGCTCGACACTCCCCCAGGCCTCAAAGGGTTGTCGGGGAACATTCTCGGCCAGGCTCACCAGGCGCTCAAAGAACGGGTTCTCCTTCTGGATGTGCTTCAGCAGTCCATTGAGCCCTTCTTCGTCCGCAAAGTAGGAGATGTGTCGGCTCAGGACGTGTCTCCAGGCGTCTTCTGCGTCAAGCTTGTCCCAGCCAATGTGGAAGACCATCTTGCCTGTCATGACATATATCATCTAGTTGATAACCAACTTAGCGTCAGGCCAGATTAGGTTGGTCGGAGGATTCAAAACATACCACAATTCCAAAGGAGAAGATGTCTGAGCTGATGTTCTGGCGGGCCCGGCACCAGCTCTCCGGGCTTCTCCAGATTGCATTTCCGCATATACCTTCCGAAAACCACATCCCAGCCGGTAGGAGGACAGTGTCCTCAAGATCTGATATCTGAACGCTCTTGATCTTTACCATCTCTTCTCCTGCTTCTGCTTCTTCATACTCTATCAGCACATTATCGGCCTTGATGTCTGTTCAACTGTCAGCCACAGCTGCTATTTTATACTACCGTGGGCTCTCAATAACCTACCATTGTGTACAATGTTTTCTTTGTGCATGTCACAAAGTCCCTGCAAGGCACTCCGAAGAACTTCAACCTTCGTTCTCTTCGACCGTAGTTTGGGGCTCAGGTGCTGCAGGTCTCCAGTCAAGTAGGGGTATATAAACATCTCAAGAGGCTGGATCGTGTCAGTTACTGCCCGTATATTTGGGTGACCCGAGAATCGTCTCTGCAGATCAAGTTGATACTCGAATTCGCCTGGTATCATGTTCTTGAGGACATATTTTTTCCCTCCAGAGCTAGTTATCCTGGCGTCAGCAGGTCGAGTCAGGGTTGAAATGGGTCAAGTCTAAAGGCCTACCTCGCGCGATAAACGCAGGGTAGAGGCCTCCTTCGTTCACGCAGCGTTTCTTCGATTCTGTAGACGCTCCCAGAGTCGCTCGTCAGCTGCATCCCAGGTGTAAGCGGCTCCTTGAAGGTTGACATTCTGCATCGGCCGGGTGTACAGATCGGGACAAAGCCTCGAGGCAAAGCACTTCCAGCGGAAATATATGGTCGGATGTAAATCCTAGCCATCAGGATTGGATTCATTACTAGCACTCCTGAGGTATATATAAGATTTCGAACTGCGGAGAGTTGAACGACGAAGTGAAGAGCGTGCTGGTCGATTCTGCCCAAAATTATCAGCTGCATGAAAGAGAAACAACCTTGAATGAGCAACCAACCTCGTTTCCCATGGAAGAGATGTCTATACCCAGTTCCGGATCTTGAACTGGGACTCACTCTGTGCAAACTATCAAGGATAATCAACCCCTATACCGACCAGGGGAAAGTTTATCGCAATTCTAGTAACCTAGACGCAGCAGATTATGATCTCAGCGATATTCTCCCAAGATTTTGCCCTGGATGGAACCGGGGTGGATTTGAACAATGTTGAGCTCAGTACACTCAACATACATATGTTCAATTATATAGCACTGCCCTATTTCATCTGTTTGATTATCCCTTTGAACATTAGGATTTGAAGAACTGGACGAGTTAGCTGGGGACGATGCTGACTAACCCAGCCGGTCGAGAGACTGCATTCCAGGCTTCAACTAGAAGGGCTATCCTCCTTCTTTTCAAGAGCCATACATATCACATCAACGCCGCCCTTCCGTACTTCAAGAATAGGCTCGTCATCAAAATGATATAAGTATGATTTTGTCAACGGCCCACCGGGGCTGAGGCTTGTATGCCCTTGAATCAGCAGAATAATGTATCGCTTTGTGGAATTGCAAATCTTCGCAGACTTCCAATTTCGTTCCGAAGTTGGTTTATAATGTCGTCGGCACTCTTCCATAGTGGTTCATTATTCATCTTAGGCCTATATCAGTATCATCGTAGTCAAAATGCCCGCCTTGGTTGTTACCTTGAGTAGCATCTCACATACCCGAGTAGAAACACTTGGTTGCGGAGAATGAAGTATTTAGGAGGTAGTTAAAGGCTCCCCAGGCTCCCCGGGCTCCATCCATGACTTGGGCAGAGCGTGGGGCAGGGAAGCCCCCTCCTAAATACAAAGTCGTGACTTGGATCCTTCCAATCCATCCCCACTGCTCTCAAGGGGGTTAATATATCGATAATAATAGGCAACAAGGATGGTCGATTTCGTATGTTTCTAATTTACTATTAATCATACATTAACTATTGGGTTTTAACTAGTTACTCGAGCGGTTAAAATGATTGACGGAATCACTCTTTCACGGAGCCCTAGAATGGAATGACCTGGCTGACCTCTGCATTCCACTCGACAGGTCTCGCCAGCATGCTGTACAGGGCCGTCAGTGACAGCTCAAAAGAAATGGCTACAAGGGGACCTACCGCTTTCCGGCCTCCGTTCCCCAACATCCACAGAATAGAGATGCAGGATAGCATATAATCTAATAGGAAGTTAGTTATATACTTGTAGAGATGAACGGGAAAGGTAATATACCGCCGAAATAATGCCAACTGCGAAGCCTACATCATGCATCGGGTTAGTTATGATAAAAGTTGGAGGAGCTTCAGATGGTAGATGGCATTACCTAGCGTTGGACCGACGACCTTACAACGACACGGGTTCTGGTCGGTTCCGCATTGGAAGCACACGAGAGGGAATGGAAAGAAGAACATCCTGGCAGTATTCGCAAGCTCTCTATACGATGATAGTCTGGTGAGATGTGGTGGTGTACTGAATGGTCCAGCTTGTAGAGATCTTGATATATATCTTGCACGGCTATGACGTTGTATCTATCAAACTTGGAAGGCAAATTGAACAGCCGCGGGCCATGATTAGCTGGAACCACCAGCCTGCTTTCTACCGCTGATCAAACTTGACAAACAAATATTCTAGACTAGGTAGGTCGTTAAACAGTCTTTAATACTAGTCAGATTAGTCGTCCTGCTCAACTTCCTCTTCCTCTCTCCTAATCCGATCCCGAACCTCCATCAGCGCCTTTCCCAGCAAATTCAACCCCCATTTCGCCCTTCTGGCCGGTGCATTCTTCGCTCCAAACCCAACCCCCCATATCCTGTCACGCGGACTGGCTTCGACCAGCTCCCTATCGCCCGTCTCCAGCAGTTGGGCCTTGAGATCAGGATTCTGCGTGAACTTGTAGTAGTTCCCTTGCACCACGATCCGGAAGCGCTCTTTCTTCCACACCCCCTCGTCGAAGTTGGGCACTTTGCGGCCAAGAGCTTTTATCTCCTTGGGACCTGGTACAGGCCCTGAGGGAGCGAGGATCTGCTGCGTTACTGGGTCGTCTGGGGCGAACAAGACGCCCTTCTGGTGCATCATGTAACTATACCATATGCCTTCTTAGACTGATGCACTCATTGACTAATAGCTGTTCCATGTTGGGTATATCATGGCTTCATGGACGAGCGATTGCTGATATGAGAGACAATGAGACAAGCTTACTGTTCACAGTTCTCATATTTGAGCTCTTCGCCTCCGTCCTCTGCAGGTACGGTGAAGGGGGACTTCCACCATTGTCCTAGATACCCATGTTCCTGCTCAGGCTTCCAGAAGAAGATGGGTTCCGAAGACATCTCTGAGAGTGAAGTCGCAGATGGATGTGAACATGTAAAGGATATCAAGTTAGTCCATCACGAGGAGGGAAGAAGCTGACGTTTAAATATGCAGCTTCTCGTGTGAGTCAATGGTGGCTTTTTTTAGTTTGAGGCTCAGCCGTGTCTGCCTAGTCAGTTACCCACTGGACTAGTTATTTATATCATCGTTTCTATCACTTGCGAATGGCCAAGTCATGATTCGACTAGTGAAACGTTCTTCATAAAGATTCATTGATTGGAGTTATTGGTTGAAAACTTCATATCCAGTTAAATATGACACATATTTCATCGAAAATTTCCATCCAACCCGCCTGCTCTCTAACGAGTGAACAGCCCGAGACTGAGGCTGAAATAAGCCTGATCAATCCTTGTGGGCCTGTCAATCACTTGTTTATGCGCACCTCTGGGGAAGTTGAAGCCTGATTAGCATAATGCTCCTATGATAACAGGGGAGATGGAGAATCGTGAACTTACGCCGTGCTGGCACTTGTAGCAGCCGTTGCTCTTGCAGTAAGCGTCGTTGCTGCAAGGAGCAGCAGCACAGATGAAGGTCTAGCCATACAAGTCAGTACCTCAAACTACTGCTATAAATGCGGGTGTGCAAGGAGGAGAGATCAGCATACACCCTGGGTCAAGCCCTCCTTGGGCTGGGGAGCCGCAAGGGCTGCGACAGAGGTCACTGCAAGGAACAGCATCATGAGGCCCTTCATCTTGACTGGTTTTCGATATGGATATTTTGTCTGATTCTTGAGTTATGGAAGTGTTCAATGTGGCTGCTTGAGGATGCTCTGAGAAATTGTCAATTACCCGGCAACATCAGCCCCTTTATATATTGCTCGAACAACCCCATACACAACATAGTCTCCTATGTTGAATCTGAACAAATCCTCCGTCTTCCACAAGGTCACGATAAGAACAACTCAGAACTGCATCATTGTGGGGTAGCTGAGGAATTTCAAGGAGTGATCCGACACAGAAGCGCCAATCAGTAAAGGGAGGGCTGTAGATCAAGGGATGAAGATGTGGAGTGCAATTGAGTACGCTCCTAGCTTGCAGTTGGAATCCTCATCCCCCGCAATCCTTCATCTATGCTGTGTACGCGAAGAACAATCCAATTCTCTTGAATATGCCTGTCGAGCCAATAGAAAGGATTTTTCGGTGTTTGTTATGGAAGACTGGAAGCTGCATGCTGATCATCCTTCGACGCTGCAGATTCATGTGCAACTGGAAAGGAAGAGAGACAACGCTCCACCATACAATTGTCACCTGCCTCCATTTCACTCATTGTAGTCATGCTTGTACTTGGAGAAGTAGCGTAGTAAATTCATATGATGGATAAATAGTGTGAAAAGCAGCTTGATAGGGCTCGATTTGAGTCCACTACTGGCAAAAGAGTACATGTAGATCCCCCAAACCGAGTTGTGCATAATCCCCGAAACAAAGGCGAATAAGGCGAGGAAGTTGGCCTGCAGCAGCGAATAACCCGTAGTTCGTGGCGCATCTAGAAGCCGATCAATGCATTGCTGTTATATATACTTAGATCGGGGTCGTCCAAAATGCTGCTAGATGACTGGACTTGAATATGGGTACATTGATTTGTTCTTCATAAGTACAGAGGGAGTGAAATAAACTCATATTCACCAACCATTTACACCTGAAGATGAAAGTCGTAACGGGTCATCCACTAATGATGCCAAAGATGCAACTCGTAACTCGTTTGCCGTAGGCTGATCAAATCCTTCTCATCTCAGTATCACCCATATTCAGGCCTTCTTCTTCCTTCCCCTGGTCTGGCCGGTACCGGAATTCTCCCACATGTTGACCAGGACACTACATAACGATTAAGATCAGTACATTGCTTTGCTCTCAAAGAGAAGAAGAATGGCTCCTGTCGGGGAAATACCTTTGTGTTCTGTCCTGGTACTCCTCCGCCTGCATTTCCTTGACACCAACCTTGGCGCCCTCTCTTGAAAATGCAACGTTCTTCTTCTCCATCTTCTTCTTGGTGTTATCTTTCACATCCATGGCGATGCTGTAAATCACTAGACCGATGGCGGCAAGGGCGACAACCAACAGGATCACCAGGACCACAGGGAGAAGGCGGCTGAGGGCACCCATGACGATTAGCTGACCAAGTTTGCTTCGTGTTCTATGTCTGTCGTCTTGGTTTCCAGGAAAGCGCTTCGAGTGAAGGATGGTGTGGGTGGACTCGATTCGAACGAGATCGCACTTTCAGGTCGCTTGCGAAGGGAGCGCGGGGTATGCCCGTATTAGGAGTGACAGCTGGAGCCGAAGGATTTGGTCGACCTAGAAGAGGCTGCGCCTGGTACTCCGTAACGAACGAGAGATAATATTGAAACTGCGAAGAAAGGGAGTGGCCCCGAGGGATCAGAGGATGGGTTTATGGTTATCTCGAATAACGGTTCAACCAGGAGAGCGCGAAGACCAGCCACAATTAGCAACAGAGGAGCAAGGGGAGCGCTGGGCGCAGACTGTGGCTGTTCCCTTGTGTGCAAGACTAGTCAGCGGTTCCTTGCACAAGCTCGTGTTTTGAGAGCATCCGATTCGTTGGAATTGGGAGTCTTCAGCTGAGGTTGACGGAGAAGTCAGACATGCTGGGGCCCTCCCTTACCAAGCAGAGACAACAACAATAATATCCTCCGTACTCCGTACGGAGTATGTTATCCTGCAACAGGCCTACCTGCATCTGCACCTAAATATACCAGCTGCTCATTGCTCCCAATCTCAGGTTCTTCATGCGAGCAAAGAAGCCCCCGGCCGAAGAGTATGTCACGTGCATCCTCGTCCTTGTTAGTTAGTTCTTAGCATAGCAGTTCTTAGGAATAACATCCATCCATCAGCTTCATCAGAACGTACATTTCAAGCCCTGCAGACCAGCTACAGCCTTTTGAGCATCGGATTTTGATTGTCAATTCCCTCCTCGTTCTTAGGCACGGACCCTTTTACGAAGTTTTCCACCCTCTCCACAGTGCCAGCGTGCAATCGAATGAGACCCTTTGCGCCCCTGCATATCCTCGGCCAGAGTTGATTATGTAATGTCCCTCCGAGATACTTTTACTTAAGGGAGTATATTTGTCTTGTTTGTCTTGATTGCCTTGTTTGTTCTGTTTACACTTTGTGCGGCTCATGCCAAGAAAGAACCCCTTAATCTTATTGACAACAAGGTTATTTTCTACGACTTCTCCCCTTAACGACGACGAATGACAGAAAATATAACGAGGATTATCTTATATTGAGCTGTCCCTAGTATCACTGCGGAATACAGAGTTGTTGACAAGATGAGTTAAGAGCTCGACACAGATACCCCATAATAACACCGGACAGCGGAAATGACAGACTCGGTTTGGTCCTTCATCACAGATAGCAAAGGCAGAAGTTTCCTTGATACCCGAAATTGTTTGCCTGAGCGTGGTCTAGGCACAAGAGCAGCCGAGGTAGTTGCGGGTGCAACGGCCCGCATGACCCTCACAGCCGTTCTCGTTGCATTTTCCGACATTGCTACCGCAGTTATATCCGCATGGGCAGTCACGGTAGGGGCCCTAATAGGAGTTTATGGTTAGTCGCAGCGTGCTCGGGGGAGTATTAATGGTATACCCACAGAGAAACAAGTGATTCTATCAACGCTCAGCTCTCCATGGCAGTCGTTCTGGTAGCAGTTGCCGTTGGGATACCCGCAGTTGGCTTGGCTGGATTCTCCATTGGGGCGAGCAAAAGAGGTGGCCACAGAGGCAAGGCCGACGATGAGAATGGTAGTGAAACGCATGATGGCTGATAGAACTGATAGAATTGATTATTCTTTTGGGCTGTTTTGCTCGGAGTGTAGAAGATTGAATGCTTTGGGATGTGCTTGATGATTCTGAAATTCCAACGTTGAAGGAGGAGATATACCCTCTATTTATACCTTTTCTGAAGCCCTTCTGGGTATGAAGGCCATTCTCCAAATGTGAGGGCAGCTGAGCTGATTGCTCGTGATGATTGATTCCTTGAGACGAGACATTGGCATGAGAGACGACTCCTCATGCAATGGTTCTCACACACTCAAAAGCCAACTATGAGGAGTTCAACCCTGCATCTTCTCCAGCGGTTCTCATCCGCCCTAATTGCAATTGCATCTACAGAAATACATCTTATACGTCGAAAACACTATTTCTCGGGGTTTGGTCTCCCGCCTTCACGCCAGCAGTGGGAGTCGGTATCTCGATTTGCTCAAAGAGAATTGGCAGCTGGTGTTTTACGCTACCATAAATAAGCATGCAGGAAGTTGTGTGACAAGAATATGTTTAGGTAGACTAGGTCTGGCAAATGACTGGTGAATTTAACATCCTCCTTACTCGATTGGAAAGGGGAAATTTAAACGATAGGACGCCTCTTGTGCCTGGAAACCAATAGGAGTCAAGCATTGGATAGCTAAATGTTTGACAGCGCTGATTCCCAAGACCCAGTGGCGTATGTTCAACGATTAGCTAGAACATATAATCCAACAAGGCCGATGGAACTAGTAGTTTCCCTTAGTCATATCACATGAAGCAGGTGAGTTTAGCTGCATGGCTTTCTGCCAGGGTGGATGTCACTAAGGATGTGTCGCAGCCCAGCTCTTCATTCGCGCGTGTCCTTTCGATAATTCGAAGTAAAACACCTGCTGAAATACCCTGCTGGATCAATAGCTGTAGACTTCTAAATCTATGAGAATATATGCATCCACCGTATTCACACCCTCAGATGGCGGCCAATACAACTGAATCTTTGGCTCTCCACCGGCTTGCCGTATGAGGGCACTGTCAGCTTAGGGTCTAGAACAAGCATTTATCTGCACAATAAGACTATGGGTAGATCCCCGATCATGATCCCGTGAGGCGCCGCGAGATCGTCGCTGCAAGGCATCCTAGCCCAATGGCAGCCGAAAGCGTCGATCGAAGCTGGCCCATAACAGCATGCAGGCCCTTTTTATGGGATTAAAATGTCAATAAACTTCGTTATTTATTGCCCGAACAAGCATGCCATGCCTAAAATACGATCAAGTAGGAGGCGTCGGGAGCTGGTACATATGCACCTGACTAGCAGTGTGACGTGTGGCTACATATTATTGCTAGCCCTGCACAGACATTTGTTTTAGGCTGTTCCTCGGCTGTCTCTCGTGCAGTACGGAGTATTCATGCATGCTCCGTGCTTCTCCTTAGCTCAATGAGGCGTCTCTAACTAACCTGCCATATCTAACCGAGTGATTCTCTGACTTGTCTATTTATCTCGGACTCTAGAGAGCGGTCTCCTCTATCTGCGTCTGTAGTCAACTAGAGCATATATCACTCCTCATGATCTTGGAATGGCCATTGCTCTTCAACGCACCGTTCTTCTTCCGGTGTATCCGAGCCCTCCAATAACACCTGCTTTAACTCAGTGCTTTTCTTCAAAGTGTCTTCGTAGGCTTCCGTCCTCACCCATCCGTCATCGCCCAAACCTCCTAGCTCTGACTTCCAGTACTCAACGAGACCATTCATTTCGAACCAGGTTGGCTCCTGCTCGTAATACGCATCAACCTCAGACTGGGTAAACGAGACCGGGCATGGAAGTGGCTCCGATAGATGTGCATTGAAAAGATGCCAGTTTTCATATATCCTGATGAGAGCCCCTTTTAGGCTAAAAAAATCTCCACTCCATTGTTTCTCAGCGCGTCCAACAAGATGTTGAGATAGTAGCACACGAGGATCTTTCATCCCTGACAAGTGCTTTTTATTTAAGCCACCATTGAACGCCATGTAGATGTAAAAGAGCGTCCTGCGTCGATAAAGTTCGTCCGCTTGGGACTTTTGCTCCGGATCGAGTGAGTCATAGTTATCAGGCAGGCTGGGCTTCTCGAGTGTTTTTGGTGGCGGTTGATCTGGGCTCTGAAACATAGGAGGGTGTCCCGTGGCAAGCAGTAGGGGAAGCAAGGTCGCATGTTGCCAATCTATTATCGAGGAAATTTTATGGGTTTTCGGACATACAAATATGTTACCAGGATTAAGATCTGAATGATAAATAGATTAACCAGTGCTTTTGTTGCCATATCACGTTGGAGGGTTTCCTTACCCGGGTGGCGCAAGAGAGGACAGCTTAGGTCGGTGTGAGATTCCGAGCCAAGGAGGTAAGGAGCCACTTCCATATATTGATTGAGATACCTAATGTGTTCATTAGGAGAATTGATGGCCTCGAAGTGGACAACATGGGGAAATTTCATAGGGCGAGATCTGCCATATCTTTCTGTCCATTCGTACTCCCGTTTTCCGATAGAGATCAAGTAATCCTTTGGCGTTTTCCCTGTTATCTTCCGTATTAGTTTCCGTGTTCACCAAAACACTGTGGGTGGGAGAAGAGATATATTTACAAGGCCCACGAGATGTATCCAAATCAGCGCGCTGGCCGTACCAGAACATATAATCAGTTGTCGGCCCAATACAAAACCGTTCATCTTGTGACACCATGACCGGATCTGTGTCACTCATATATAAGTCAAGCTGCAAATCCGGTGGTAGATCACTTTTGTAATATATGCTCCCGAAATTGCCAAAAGGAATATCAAACAGCTTCTTCTCAATGTCAACAAGGCTCGTCACAAGATAATGACGTTCGTGCTTCGATAAATCAAACCATCTGGTCTCCAATGGAATACCAGACGCTTTTTCCATAATAATATACTCCACACCAACAGGATTGTTTGCATCAGCAGACCAACCAAATATACGAGGCACAGGCACACCCTTTGATCGCAGAAGGTCTGTTGTAGCAACTTCGCTTGCAGTGGTATACTTTTTCGGCACAGTAATACTGTAGGGGATTTTGGCAATGGCTTGGAATCCATCCTCTGAAGTAAGGAGAAATACCCGATTGAATCCGCCTTCAGCAAGTTTTTGAAGACAAGTAATTTTGCCGTGGCCGACGTATTTTTCGGCAGCGTCCTTCAGAGCAGCGACATTGAAAGAGATCCGTCGCTCTTCAAGACGGCGTTGTTCGTTATATAGGAATCGTCCTGATGTGTATGTAAATAGCCCATCATTCTCATTTGATCCAGCTCCTCTGAGAAGTCAGTTTCCACGATGCTTAAATGCCAGAGGCTATGAAAATACCAACCCATCGTGCGCAAATTACGCAGAAAGACCGAGCTGATGTTAGGGTTGAAGCGCCATCTCATGCAATTAGAGAATGAGAGGGTCAAAGGTCCTCTTTGCATTGCCATCATTTTCCAATTCGACTCTGCCCATGCTCATCAGAGGCTACTCTTTTTGGGTTTCAAACGACAACTGGAAGTAAGCGCGCGTGACTCGGTCGTTCTTATTGGATGATGATAACTAACTAGTGGGTCTTGTCTCTATATTTAACTAAACTAGTAACTAACTCTGATTGGATGGCCTAACTAGTTATCCCTGAGAATGAAACTGCATCACTTTAGATATTTTCCAATGTTGAATATGCAATGCTGGTAGTCAGTTACGTATTTTATCTCCATAGTTTGCATCCTGTGAAGCTTGTTAGATTCGGGTATTTTAATTCACCGCAGTGTAGTTAATATAACTAGTTGAGAGTGAATAACTCCACATAGAACTCCTTGTCAATTTCTTATTTCTTCCTTCACCAATCGTGGTTTCTAGCAACCGCAGGCTTAGTTCGTCTAGTGGTCGAGAAATGATAAAATTCCCCATTCTCTTGTCTTCTATTCGTCGCTCGATAGGATCCTCCACCTGCTATGGGTCCCGTTTAACTGCCAAAGCCCTCCAAAGCGCAAGCCGGTTGCTCACGACGAAGACTTCCTCGGCTGTCTCAAACTATGCGCATAGCTCCTCTATCGTCACTGAAGGCGGCATCCTATTGAGCCCCTCGCAGGCGAAAGACCTATTTGCCGGACGGTTCCCTACTGACTGTAACCATGATACCCTTGTCTTGAACCGTCTATCGCAGCATGATTACAAAAAGATTGTGCACGGTTTTGAATGCTCCCTCAGTGGGAGGTACGTTGCAGCGAAGTACATGGTTTGTTACTTAAGTATCTATTCTCACTAACTCGCTCACATAGAGAAGGCAAACCTTCAGGCTATCTTGTATATGGGGGGTGTCATAGCGCCTCCGTGCTCCGCGCACCACCGTCAAATATCCACGATGCATTAATGTGGAACATCATCGACCCCGTGGCTAATGCGCTTAAGCAATCAACGCGGAACGACGAGAAGTATTCCTTCCAAGTGATGACGAACATAAGCGTCGTATCCAGGGAGAAAAACGCTGCAATGAAAATCCCTGACATTAGGATTGCGAGACGAGAGCGTGCTCCACGTCGTGGAAAGATCCCACGGGACAAAATAGTATTCATTGCAGAAATAGGTTTCACGGAAAGCTCGTCTGAGCTTGAAAAATGCATTAAACAGTGGTTTAAAGCTATGCCCGAGGTTAAAGTTGCATTTCTTGTGAAATTGGATGAACGGCCACGGTTTAGTTCCAAACGTGCATTCATCCATCTCCCTGAATACGTGATCAAAAACCCACAAGTAGACGCTAACTCCAATACAGCAGCTTCCCTTAATAGTGAAGGAGTTGCAGAGATACATGGAGTCAGCTTTGTGGGTAATATATCCGCCTTTCTTGAGGTCTGGCGGAGAGGCCTTGACGGCGGTGCAGAACTGAGTGGTGAACGAATCGTAAGTACAAATGACATATTTCAAGTTTATTGCTCCTGCTTACACTAATAACGTAGAAATTTTACGATTCGTTCCAGCTGCTTAGCCCGCCAAAATTAGAGCTAGACACAGCTATGTTTGACTTTTCCCTAGATAATCGACAGCACGAGCAGCTGGTATTCGATTGGGTCGGGTGGGATGAGGCGCTTCGAGGACAGACTGGGGAATTGGCGCGCAAGCGATTCTTTTTTACCCTCGATGAATATTGTATAGCAGGGACAGAAGTTTCAGGGTAATAGAAGTAATTACAGTGCTCATGTTACGGTGTTCCTGGACCATCTCTTCTTGTCCATTCCCTATAACTATGGTTTCTCATTATTGGTCAAATTTAGCTTAATAGAACTAGTTAATGTTACCCAACTTCAACTGATTAACTAGTCATGAAGTAATACAGGTGGAAGAAAGGCAACTACCTAATTTGCAGCGATGAGGTGAATGCAATCTGAATTAGAGACATATTTTATATCTGGGACAAGTAAAGCTAGCTAACTAGCAACTTAAGTAAGAAAAGCTTGACTGATTGAATTGACATTAGAACAAGACAAGCAGACAAATTTGGATATCGACAGAACACATAAACATGAACATAAGACAAGAATGGCCAACCGAGCAAAACATAGGAAATGGGGTAGCGAACGATTTGAAGTGGGTAAATTACGAATGCCGGAGGGAGAGAGACATTATATTCATATCTGCCGATTCAACCGGTGAAAAAGAGTGGTTGGGTAGGGGAGACGCCTAGACAAACTTCTCCTTGAGCCTGTACAAGAAGCCGCTGATACGGTTCTTTTTCTTCCTGTCCATATCATCAGCGGCAGCTTCGGCATCTTCCTGGGCTGAAGTGTCTGCGTCTGCACCTGCTGTGACGGTGGCAGTGGTTCGAGGCTCAATTGGCTTTTGTTCTTGGGCCTTCTGCTCTGGAGCGCCTGAGGTAGCGGGAACTTCAGTTGTAACAGGGCCGGTGGTGGCTTCCGGGGTCTCCTTGGGCGCCTCGGGGACTTGGGAGGCGGTAGTTCCTTTGGTGACGGGTCCATCGTTCCCGGAGCTTTCACAGACAGCGCCTCCGGCTGGGACCTCTGGTGTATGAGATTTGGGTGAGACGTCTCCGGTGTCAGTTCCGGTTCCTGGCTGGAGAGAATCTTGCTTCGAAGTTGGTTCGGTGGTGGAGGTGGTGGTAGTAGCGGGTGCTGGAGCAGCTGGAGCAGTGGAGGAGGTGGTGGTTGTGGTGGTAGAAGTTGGTGCTGGAGCAGTAGAAGTGGCGGCGGCTGAGGTGGTGGGAGCGGGCTGACCGCTGCCCGTGGCTGGCGAGACTTCCTTAAGTTCCTTCTCGAGGTCTTTCTTCTCCTGGACCATCTCAGGAAGGCAAGCGGCCTCTGGGTCAACGTGAGCCTTGTTCATAGACTCCTTGACACGCTCAGGAACCTCCTTGGCGGGGACTTCAGGGTCATACTGCTGGCCACCGACAGCAGGAGCAGTCTTGGAAGAGCCAGCTGGCTTTTCCAGGGGCACACCACCAGCTAGGCCGGCGGTGGTGGCCTGGGGAGCGGCAGAGGAGATAGAAGGGTTTTCGTTAGGGCCTACAGACTTGGACTTGGGCTCATCAACAGGGAGGGCCGAGAAAGTGTTCTTCTTGTCGTGCTGCTTAGCTGCCATAGCAGCCATGGCAGGGTCACTAGCACCCTTGTCATAGCTTTCCTTATCGGTAGTAACTTTGGAGCCAATGGTGTTGCAGGTGACGTCGCCTGACTTCGGTAGCTGTTCACCTGGAGAAGTCTTGACGGGGTTTCCAACGGTTCCGGTGGCAGGTAAGGGGCTAACGGAGTATGGTTGCTGGTCATCGTTGGTGTTAGTCTGCTTCTTGTTAATCCCTCCGGTCTTCTTGTTGTTGCCTCCTGCTGCCGCGGCGGCCATCGCAGCCATGGCCGGGTCACTAGCATCCTTGTCATAGCCCTTCTTGTCGGTAGTGACGTTTGAGCCAATGGTGTTGCAGCTGATGGTGCTTTGTTCAGGCAGTTTCTCACCTGCAGCAACCTTGACAGGGTTTCCAACGGTTCCGGTAGCAGGCAAGGGGTTAACAGAGAATTGTTGCTGGCCATTCCCGTTCTCGCCCTGTTTCTTCTTCCCGTTTCCTCCGGTTGCAGCGGCAGCAGCCGCCATGGCTGGGTCACTGGCTCCCCTATCAGAGCTCTGCTTGTCGGTAGTGACATTGCTGCTTTGGCCCTTGGGGGTGCCATTTTTGGCCGAACATGACTGCTTCTCGCCCGAGGAGACCATGGTGGGGTTTCCAATGGTTCCGGTAGCAGGCATAGGGCTCACAGAGTATTTTTGCTGCTCATCTTTGCCAGAGAATTTCTGTTGCTCATCTCTGCCAGAGGATCTCTGTTGCTCATCTCTGCCAGAGTATTTTTGCTGCTCATCTCTGCCAGAAGATCTTTGCTGCTCATCTCTGCCAGAAGATCTCTGCTGCTCATCTCTGCCAGAGTATTTTTGCTGCTCATCTCTGCCGGAGAATCTCTGCTGGTCACCCTTACCAGAGACCTTCTGCTGGCTGTCTTTACCGCAGTCACCCTGCTTCTTATTCTTATCACTTGCTCCTGTTGCAGCAGCAGCAGCAGCCATGGCCGCCATAGCTGGATCACTAGCCCCCCTTTCGTAGCTTCCCTTATCGAGGGTTACATTGCTGCCTATGCCCGAGGAGGAGACGTTCTTGGCCGAATCAGGCACCTTCTCACCCGGAGCAAGCTTGACAGGGTTTCCAAGGGTGCCAGTGGCCGGTAGGGGGTTAACATTGTAGCCTTCATCCTTGATGGGACTCTCTGGGTAAGTTCCCGGTGGCTTCTCAAAGGGCACTTGACCGGCTAGCTGGGCAGTAGAGGAGCATGGAGCCGCGGAGGAGATGGTAGCCTGGTGAACATTAGGCTCCTTGGGGACAGTACCAGCCAGTGCTGCAGTGGTTGATTGGGGTGTGACTCCCGATATTGTTGTTGTTGTGGGAGCCGAACGGTTGTTGTTGTTGTTATTGTTGTTGTTGTTGTTGTTGTTGTTGTTGCCGTTTGCCATGTTTGTGGAAGAAGTTGGCGAGATGTGCCTTGGAAGTAAAACGCTATTGATGTTGTTGTGTTCGTCTGTCTCTTCTTGCAGCGCAGCAGGGTCAGTACGCCAGTGTCCGTCAACGATGAACTTGCAGAGCAGAGCGTCAGTACAATGTTGTTGTTTATGAAGCAGTGAGAGAGGGAAGAAAAGAGTGAAAAGGACGGTGGGATGTGAAGAAGTTCGTATGATCGAGCTGGTGGGGGTGTTTATGTTTTATGTTGTGATTAAAGGGAGGGAAAATGGTCGTCCGGCGCTAGTTTTGCGTGGTCGTGGTTATGACGTAGGGGCGAAAAGGCGACCTTTCAGGTACATCCGCCCGCCCGCCAAAACATCAGGCAGCACAGGTACCGGGAGGTATCTGCTTACCCAGCCACCGAGAAGAGGGACCAGGAGGGACCAGAGAGGGGACCAAAACGAGGAAAAAAGAAGCTAAAGGAAGAGAGTGGAAGAGGCAGAGACGAGAGATAGGGCAGAGAAATAATAGAGAGGGGGAACTAAGGATGGCCACACGCACCTTGTAGAGGATCGTCTCGTCGGTCTCAGGGAGGAGGACTTCCCTTTCAAAGCCGGCGTCCGTCCTCTCGAGCCTGATGCTCCTCGCCCAGTCGTCGAAGCTGCCGGTGACGATGACTTCCTGCGCCTGTCGGGGCCTGAGCAGTCAGCAGAAGAAGCTATTTTAGCTAGTTGCTTTCTTTATCAAAGGGCAATTGATGGGTTGACATGACAGTGAGAGCTATCAGGTTGAACAGGAGGGGGAGCCAGAATCGATAGATCGAAGATGCCCAAAGGGCCAAAACCAACGATGGATAATAATAATGGGACGAATGTTTTCTTCTTCCTTTTGGGCTGCCCTTCTTTGCTTCTTTCTGGCATCTTTCATTTCCCATAGTCTGGTAGAAACCATGGTACCTTGAGAGCGAGGTGGAGGTTGCGTTCCGGACTTACCATCTGAAGGTGTAGTATCCCATTCTTCTGGTCGAATGTCAATTGGCACGTCGCAGCTGTAACTAACTAGTTAAGCGAGCAGGACTCCGCAGAGAAAAGGGAAAAAAGCAAGCGTCGGACAGGAAGACGACGCTGAGATGATGGGAAGCAGACTGGAAGCTGGAGGTGAGGCAGAGCAAAGGAAGAATTAAGAGAGATGGCTGGTGAAGAAGAAGAAGAAGCAAGCAAGCAAGCAGGCAAGCAAGCGCTATCGGACGCTGTTTATTGGATGGAAGTCGGCAGCGGGCAGCAACTCGCAGCAGAGACAGACGCAGAAGACGCTGCAGGTATAACTACAAAGAGAGAAGCTGTCAGTTGTAGTCAATTAACTAGTAACTCTGTGATTCTGTAACTATACAGCAGACAGCTGCAATACGAGGGCCAGCAACAGCAACAGCAACAGCAACAGCAACAACAACAACAGCAAGGAGACCCGAGCTGCCTCGTCTCGTCCCATGGAAGCGAAAGACTCACGTGTGGCAATACCTGCAGAGCCCGTAGCGGTACCTCAGCCTCTGCGGCAACCTCTGCGGGCGGCGGAGTATCGCTACCGGCACCAAAGTCACTGGCGAAGCTTGAGAGTCGGGTAGCTTTCCTGGTGACGTTCTAGAAGGAGAAGAGAAGCGGCAGAGAAGCGAGCGAGGGCGACCTTGGTTTCTTGTCTCTGGTCTCTGGTCTCTCTGTTTTGCTTTCGCTCGGGCTCGTCTCGACGTCATCGCGGCCTCTTCGCCTACAATCTACCTAACTACCTGGCTTCAGACCCTCCCATCTTCAGCCTCTTTCTGCCTCTTCTGCGTCTTGTGTCTCGTCTTCGTCTCTGCCGTCTTGCTTGCTCACTGCGAAATAGTTAGCTTCAGATAACTAGTTAACTGCCTGGTTTTGACTGTTCGCGTTTCTTCTGCTGCATCGTGCGCTAGTTCATCTTCATCCCGCCCAACCCCACGCCAGACCGCAGGCTGCCTCCATCCTCCCCCAGACACCAGGCCAGGCAGCACGCCGGATACAGAGACGCCCCAGCATTACAGACCCCAGCAAGACAACTGGTTGCTCCCTCGATAAGACTCGCTCCTTTGCAGGCCCGTTTGGTGGCCAGGCTTTACCGTCTTCGCCCTGGTTTCCCTTGACTGTGGCGGTTTTTCCAGTTTAACTAACTAGTTAGCAAGCCACAAAGAGACATCGCCATCAGAGGAAGCATCGCCGTCATCACCAGCCATCAAAGGACAACGAAGATCAAGCGTGCTCGAGAATCGGCATCAGCACCTAGCACCAGCACCTAGCACCAACACCAGGCCCGGCACCGAGTCGACTGCCGGAGACAACAGACCGACACACAGAAAAGACAAGTCGAGACGAGACCGATGTCTCAATCGCACTTCGTCTCTAACCCGTTCAGTGCCAACGGTGGCGGCAGCAGCGTCAACCGCATCGACGAGGAGGAAGAGAACGTCACCTCGCCCACAGACCCCGTCAGGCCAGATGCCGGCAGCAGAGAGGTCCCCAGAAGCACATACACCACCAACGCCCACACCAATACCAATACCAATACCAATACCAGCAGCTCGGGATCGTCAGCTAGCAACATGTTCGGGGCCAGCCCCTTTGGCAGCGCTGCCGGCCAGCACCAGGAAGCATCCAGCGGATTCCCCAACAACTACTCCCTGGGCCGCCGCACCTCCGTCTCCGCCGAGTCCCTGAACCCAACGACCTCGGGAACAGACAGCTGGACCCCTCCTCACCACCCCAAGAGTCCCGCCCAGCTGTCCCGTCTGCAGGCCGCGGTCTCATCCAACTTCCTCTTCGCCCACCTGGACGACGACCAGTTCAAGACCGTGCTGGACGCCCTCGTCGAGAAGCCCGTGCCGGCCAAGGACATCAAGGTCATCACCCAGGGAGACGCAGGCGACTTCTTCTACATTGTCGAATCAGGCCATTTTGACATCCACATCCACCCTTCCGGCACTGCTCAGCCAGGTGGTCTGGCCGGCCTAGGCGCAAAAGTCACCTCTATCGGGCCGGGAGGTGCATTCGGCGAGCTGGCTCTGATGTACAACGCCCCGCGTGCAGCTACGGTCATCTCAACCGAACCATCTACCCTCTGGGCCCTGGACCGCATCACCTTCAGACGCATCCTAATGGACAGCGCCTTCCAGCGTCGACGCATGTACGAGGCCTTCCTGGAAGAAGTGCCATTGCTGTCGTCTCTCAAGCCATATGAGCGCTCCAAGATAGCCGATGCCCTGGACACCGTCAAGCACCCCAGTGGAGCCACCATCATCGCCGAGGGTGAGCCAGGGGAGTCCTTCTACCTGCTCGAGTCCGGCGAGGCGGTGGCGTACAAGGCCGGCATCGAGGGTCCGGTCAAAGAGTACAAGCGTGGTGACTACTTTGGTGAGTTGGCGTTGCTGGATGATAAGCCTAGACAGGCCACCGTCGTCTCCAAGTCGGAGGTCAAGGTTGCAAAGCTCGGTAGAGACGGCTTCAAGCGTCTGCTTGGGCCCGTGGAGGAGATTATGCGGAGAGAAGACTATGGCACAGCCAGTGCCACGGACTCGGAGGCCGGTAAAGAGCAAAAGGGTACCTAGTAGTTAACGTACGTGGTGTTTTTTAAACTCCTAACATATCCCGTCACCTTCTAGTTTCACCTGGAATGGCTTTTACCATGTGGTGGTTTTGTGTCTTGTCTTGTGGGCATTTAAAAGATGCTTCTTCTCTTCTTCTCTTCTTCTCGTTGGATGAATTAATGTTAAATGCTAGTACAAAGTCTCGTTTCGTCATTCGCTCTTAAAAAAGATAACGCTGGTGGGCTAAATGAACCAATTAGAGTCATGGAAAAAGACGGTTCTCTGATTATATAATACATCTGCGCAGGAACGAAGTTATATCATTGGCTGATATTCGGGATTTACTTACTAAGCAGTACACTTGCACTTCCCCCTTGCCATCTTTTGGTAGGAGAACAGTAAGAAAAGAAGATGAGGGTCCTGTTTAAACAGTTATCAAATCAAGTACAGTCATTCCAAGAGAGCACGAAGCTGAGAAGCTGTATGTCTGCTAAAGAAATCGAGTTAGAGGCATTTCAATGGCCAAAAGCTATTATCAAATGGCAAAGCAAGCCAGCGTCTGCATGACCAAAGAAGCCATCACAGACCCATTGAGATTGATATACCGATTAACTACCAGAAAGAACCAAAGCGTCTCCGCAATGTGTATATATTGGAGAGTAAACAACTTCATCCTCATTTTTAACGCATAATGGAGTACTCCGTATATGACAGTTAATAAGTCTGTCACCGTCTAACTACTAGATCACTTCGAATAACCCATTTCTCCCCTCCTGTCACTTCCCGTCCTTCATGCAACAGACACTCATCTCCATGCCGATGCAGCAGTGCCATACCAGTCTCCATTCCAACAACAACCGGCTCGGGTTGGCTCTGTGCTTTACCTTTCTTACTCCCTGGCCCCGGCTCAGGGTAGAAAGCCGTCTCGCCTCCTGAACAGGTGCTCAGGTATATCAGCAGCGTCCAGCTTGTCCGCCCCTTGACCGGCGGCGTTCCATGCATTACCTGCACCGACTCATCATCTACATATAACCACCAGTCAACGCATTTTATCCATACACAGGGAAAAATAGTCGGTTAGAGAAACGTACAATGCTGTCCAAAGAACTGGCCCTTGGTATACCGATATATGCGAATGTTCGGATTCAAACCCAACACCTCCCCGTCCCAGTCTACTTTCTCACCGTCATCCTCATTGTCACTCTGGCTGGCACTGCTGCAAACCAACTCCTTCAATCCCGTGCCTGACCACAGGAGCTCGGCAAAGGAAGCGTCGTCTACTTGAAACCGGTCGTTGACGCGCAGTGCCTCGTCCTTCTTTGGCCGGCCGGGAGTAGTGATCAAGGGTAGACTGGTCAGGAAGGAGATGTATGTCTTGCACAGCGCAGAGGAGAAGAGGTTGCGTATTATGTAGATCTGGGAGGGCAGGATGGGGGTTAAGCAGAGGTCGGAAGTTGGAGGCAGAGGGCGTAACGCCGGCCAGTTAGGGGTCTTTTGAGCAGGGGACTCTTCCCTTGACTTGGCTGCCACTTTAGACGTCACTTTGGCCGTCTCTTTTGCCGGTTTCTTTGGCATCTCGTCTTGTTTCTCTCGTTCTCTTCTTCTCTGCTTCTTCCCTTTGGGTATCGTTTTTTAACTAGAAGCCTCGTATTGACATGCAGGCAGCTGCTGGCCAGCCACTCACAACCACGACGGGCTTGCTTCCTTCTCGCTGCCTTTGCGTCCTCCTCGTCGTCCTCCTCACTTCCGTCAATCCTCGATTATCCTCCATAGAGAAATAAGATGCAAACAATAATAATATAAAGTAAAAGCAAAAAAGAAGTCTGGATAAGGCCCGCGCTAACCCCAAACAGGCAAAGGCGGGCCCATGCAAAATCCGCGCTCGGCATTTTTTTTTATCGTAAGGAGTTGGCAGACTCGAAGCAAGAAGAGACCTTAAGACGACGACGACGACGACGAACGACGACGGGCGCCGCAGCATTCGACGCAGCAACGACCCGCACGCACGCACACGACGAGGCCGAGCAAAGCCAGAGGGATGCGCTCTCGACGGTGATGACCATGTCTTCGTCCCAGGCCGTCGCGGCGTCGCTCATGGGGCCTCCGCCTCCCGACGCCGTGCCAGAGAGGTCTAGCTTTGACCGGCTCGATGACCGTCACCAGCAGCACCCCCAGCACCACCGCGAGCAGTCCCAGCGCCAGACGACGCCCACGCCCGCCTCTACCGCCGCAGAAGAAGCCAGCGCCGCGACGCTGCCATCGGCGGCGAATACTAGTGAGACCAAACTCTCGTCTGAAGATGGTCCCGGTACGTCAACTCCTAGCTGCTTGAGTTCAGCGAGCCCTTGGGCTCTGACGTTATTTCATTGCTGACCGTTTCAACTCTACCAACGCAGACCGGCAGCGTTCCCCCCAGTCGGAATCCCAGAAGCAGGCCGCCGCATCTACTCTGCTAGCACAGCTTCTCTCCAGTCAGACCACCGCCGCTGCCGCTGCACCGAATACAGACACATCAGTTACAGCTACTACTACTACGACAACCACAGATAATAATAGTAATAATACTTCGCCCGACCATCCAGTTGCTGCGGCCAACAGTGACGGTAACGCCTGGTCGAACTCAAGTGAGCAGAAGCAGCCAGAGCAAGACAAGAAGCCTGAAATTGCTGCGACACAACCAAACGCCACCGATGCGAGCGCAGTGAACGACTTCCATGGACTGCCTAAGATGGGGGACCTATCTGCATCAGATGCGCTACCAGCCATAGACATGCAGGCCGACCCGTCTATGCTCGGATCACTGGACAATGTCGATCTCAAGGTCTCAGATCTCAACGCTCACAACTTCTCGGATTTCTCTGCCCTGGCGACCACGCCTGTAAATCCTCGAGATGCAATTGATCAAAACGCATTGCTTACCAGCGGTGCTGCATATTATGATGACTCGCCGACCATGAACGGAGGTGGACCAACGCCACGCATTGTAGGATACCCGGATTTTTCCAATTCAACAGACGTCAAGGGCCGCGAGGGCTCTGAATCAGTTGCTGGATCGGAGCCCAGGATTCAAGCGTTTGCGAAACTCGAGTTTGACGATGGCCATTTCTACGTTAATACCTATTCTTTCATCCTGGGACGTGATGTCCGAGCTGCTCGCGCCGCTTTTCAGAGAGAGTATCAGGCCAAGCAGAACAACAAGGCCCATAGTTCCAGTGGACACAAGACCCGCACGCCCAGTAGAGTCAAGAGAGAAGGCAGTGCGTACATGGGAAGTGTCATCAGCGACAAGGGCGGAATCATGGGCTTTGACCCTGACATTCCCCAGAATGGCCCGCCACAGATGAGCTGGAAATCATCCAATTCTTCGGCCGATCAGGTTGCCCGGCCGTTACTGCATATATCTCAGGGAGAATCGCAGGAAAACTCCGAACCGCGGGAGATGACTGACTATAACGCTTTAGCTATGCAATCGCTGCAGAGAGGCCACCATGAACCCAAGAGAGTCGATACTCTTTCATTGCTTCCTTCACCAGAGGCATGTCCGACCATCCCCATACACCCACCCATGCCTGCCCATGGCGGTTCTTCGCATAGGGCAATTTCAAGGAAACACGTCAAAATCGCATACAACTTCCATAAAAACGTCTTCGAGATGGAAGTCATTGGTCGCAACGGTGCTTTTATGGGTGCCGATTGGCTGGCTCCTGGCCAAGTCAGACCTCTTCACAGCGGAGATTTCATACAGATAGGTGGTGTCCGAGTCCGATTTTTGCTACCAGACGTGCCTATTGGAGACACCGGTGCAGATGCCGCGCCTTCTTCGCCTCCGGAGATGGGCCAGGGCTTACCTGACCAACCTGATAACGAGGAGCCTGAAGCGTCTGTCGAACGACCTACTGTAGAGAAAGAATCGGAGCGAAGCGAGGCTGATGAACCGGTTAAGGCGAAAGGAAAGACTCAACAACAACAACGACCTGACCCCAAAGCAACTGTCGCAGAACCTGGTCAAGCTAAACGCCGCGGACCCGGCAGACCACCCAAGGACGGTATTATGTCCAAACGTGAAAGAGCAGAGATCGCACGCGAACAGAAACTGGCCGCTAAACGTGAAGCTAATGGCGCCGCCGCTGCCACAGCTATTTCCCCTCCGCCAGCTGGTACAACGGCCGGTAAGAAGCCTGCCAAAGCCGCCAAAGAACCTGCCTCTGCTTCTGCTACCGCTCCTCCTGCTGCTGCTTCCGCAATTAGCCCCGAGGACCCATCTACGGCTCCTGTTAAGGTGGAGAAACGAAAGTACACCAAGAGGAAGAAGCCTGACTCTACCCCTGGAGAAACAGTAATGCAGTCCATCGAAGGAGGAGGCGCAGGTATAGCAGCCAACATGGAAATACAACAGCACACCGAACCCATTCGTCCTCCTGCACCGAAGAAACGAAAACCCTCCAAGTCTCCATCTCCCGACTATCCGCCAGAGAGCTTCTATACCCCCAAGGAACTCGCCAAACCACCGTATAACTATGCGGTGCTCATCTTCGATGCATTATCAGAATCTCCTACTCCCATGACATTAAAACAGATATACCGTGCTCTCAAGCTCAAATACCCCTATTTCCGCTTCAAGTGTGAGACCGAAGGTTGGACGTCAAGTGTACGACACAACCTCAACGGTAACACGCATTTGTTCATGCATGCGGAACGGGACGGCAAAGGATGGTCATGGAAACTAATACCCGGCGCTTCGGTGGACAAGGAGAAGAAACGGCGTCCGTCGCCTCCACCAGTCCAAGACGTATCTAGCAACAGCCAGCAACGCTTCCTTCCACCAAACACACCTGGAGCTCCTTATAATGCTCCTCCAGGCCAATTCAACAACAACCGTCGTCAATATCCTCCGTACCAACAACCTCCGCCAAATGCTCAGTTCCCACCACACCAACAGCAGCAACAGCAACAACAGGCTCCCCTACAAGCGCCGTCCGCTACACAACCCTCCCAGCCTGTGGCAGCGGCTAAACCTCCTCCACTTCCGCCTCCGCCTCAGCCTCCAGCAGCTGTAGCAGTTCCCCCAGCACATCCTCCTACCCCTAATCTACCTCCACAACTACTCAAAAGTCTCCCACCCGCTCTTTCTGTCGTGAATCTTACTCCATATCGTTCTCCTTATATCCTTGCTTCTCCATTTCCTCCGCCACAGCAACGGCCACCTCACCAACAGCCTATACAGCCGCATCCACCACCCCCAACTCATCCGCCTATTCATCATCAGCAGCAGCAGCCTAGGTCGCTGCCGCCGCAGATGCAGCAACCACATCACTCTCAACCCCCTCCACAGCAACAGCAACCTCCTCCAAACCAGTATAGGTTTCACAACCAAATACTCCCCCCTAATCATGGTCAACCCCATCGTCCTCCACAACAGCCGCAGCCTCCGCCACCACCACAGCATGCTCAGGCACCACCGCCTCCGCCGCTGCATAATACCCCTGTTACTTCAGCCCCAGCATCTCAGCCCAGTCATCCACCGCCTACAACGGCTCCAGCTTCCACTCAGCCAAATGCCTCTGTGCCAGCTCCAGTTCCTACTCCTGCTCAGACTCCGGTGCAGAAACCAGGCGGCATGGACCCTGCTTTCCTAGCTCGAGCCAACCAGGCAATTGATAATTTCGAGGCAGTCCTTATAGAGGACTATGAGGATAAAGATTACATCCGCAACGTCCTACGGAGTGCGCGCGACAGGGTTCTCCATAACGCAAAGGAAAGCTCGTTCCCAGGCGGTGAGACGAAGGATGAAACTGTTATTATTGATGCTCTGAGAGGTATAATTGGTAGTCTCGGACAAGATCATTGAAGACTCGCCGATTATGAACCCTGGAAAACTTTGGATGTTTCGTTGAGAGAGGAGGCTAATGAATTCTTTGGGAATGTCTCATGGTTGAATCTAATATACTCCTTACCCTATCTATGCCTTTTCCTATACACCGTCATTATCCGCTATATCAGCCAACCCACCTCTCACCCGTTTATACCCCAACCCATCCGCACGACTCTTCCGTGCAAGATATACGAATGATGCGAAACGCTTTTCTTTGACTAAAAAAAGATATCATATCATGTTTCCCCTGGGTGTTTTTGATTCTTCCTCCTCTTGGAGACCTTATGCTGACTCTTCCGTTATTTGTCGGTCCGGTGGTTTATGCCCCGTTGAACCGTCTTGTTGTGTGGCACGGCGTGGTAATTGCATGGTGGCTTATCATTTGTGCATTCTAGATATTGCTATTCGTTTGGCATTTTGATATTATGGATATCCCGAGCTCGTGCGTTGCATTGTGAGGCGGGAGGTTGAGAAGAAAATATTATGGTTCGTCGTGTCATGGCGGTGTTGTCGCCAGTAAGTAACTATATATTCTAACATGGAACATTTCTTGATCTTCGCAATCGTGTGAAAAGAAGCAGGTAGACTCTTCTCTGTTGGATAGTAAAGTAGATATTATATTTGTAGTTTGTTGGGGTTGTCCAGTTATGATAATGAGTGCGGTGTCCATTAATCGTATAAATGTTGGCAATGTGGTTTGGTAAACTATACAGCATGCATGCAAAATGTCGAGGGCAGTTATACACTAGTCATGCAGATGGAAGAGAGAAAGCAGAAGAGCAACCTGGTTATGCAAAGGGTATACCGTCTGCTTATTCGGAAGAAAGAACAGGAGACTTATAAAAAAAACAGTACTGGAGAGAGAAAAGTAGTGAGAGAAAAATATAGTGAAGAAAAAAAAGTTATAAAAGAATAAAGCTATTCCCTTCCTTCCAGACGCCAGTTCCCGTAAAAAGGTAAGTAGTAGATGCTTACTTTCCTAGTTCCTTCGTGCTTCATTCCCATATATTACTTGTAGTTAATTGAACGCTCACATGGCCATCTCGGCTCTTAATTTCTCTAATTCGGCCTCCTCGTCATCTTCCTCCTTAGCCTTGGGCTTCTCTTTGACTAAGAAGTTGTTAGCAGGTGGTTAATCCGTTGAATGAAGGCAGATTTAAACTTACTGGCTCCGTTTGCTACGGAAGGTAGCCTATCAATTCTGTCTCCAACTGGTACTGTTCCGGTTCCAATCATCTTATTGTCGATCTGCTCCTGTTCCATACCCTCCAGTTCATTTTCGAGGTCGGTCTCATCGATAGGTTCGCCGATAGGAGCGTTAGTAATAGCGTTGACAATCTCGTCGCTGAGAGCGTGTTGTTCTTGCAGCTCGCCCCTGTCAAGTAAAGAGATGCCGTTAGAAATAATTATCCCGTGTAAACCAAGCCATAAAGCCTGGTATATTGGTAAGAGAGATGAAATGTGATGCATACATTGTCTGATCAACAACTTCTATGTTGAGACCCTTGTGTATTTGTTCCATGGCAGCCTTGGCGTTCTTCATTGCATTAAATGTCTCTTGGTTGATATTTGCGGACTCGATGGAATATATGTGCTGTTCAAGCTGTAGGATCTGAGCACTCGTTTGCTCAAGCGATCGTTCATGGAGCTTCTTTCGCCTCAAAGCAGTTTTGGCAGCTATAATTCCCCAACAGTCAGATATATAACTTGGAATGAGGTATGAGATAGTGGACAAAGAGAGAAAGGATATTCACCATTCTTATTCGTCGTTACGTTCTTCCTTGCTATAGCATCTTGTTCATCCATCTGATTTTGCAAATGCCGCTCTCGCTTTTGCAGCATTTCAAGCTGCTCTCTAAGCGAGAGGATGGCATTTTTAGGGATATCTTTCTTCTTCTGTGCCGAAGCACCGCCAAAGAAGGACCACATTTTGCCCCGTGAATGTATGTGGGTGCGTTAAAGTTCGAGAAGGTCGGAGTGTGATGAGGTGGGATATCAAAGATGCCTAGTCGTTTAAGCACAGCACCAAAGATCCCAAACAACCAGTAACTTCGAAACTGCAGTATACGCTTCACTCCCCAATAGAGTATTCGTGGAAATAAACGCCGATGTCGACTTAACACCCAGGAGACGATGGGACAGTTGGTAGGCGGCGTGTGCGGGGTGGACAGTTGTTAGGGGAGCGAAGAGGGGAGGAAGATGAGGCGATATAGGGCCAAAAATCCAAAGGGCCAGCAGAATAGCCGTGAGAGGGGTGAGACAGATAAGCCTCCGGCAGGTCTTCAGGGGCGGTTTGGTATTGTCGTTAGGCAGTGAGATTCTTCTTTATCGCTTTTCGACGTCAACTTTTTATGATATCCAACACAAGCACCGCCTGGCTCTCGACGCAAGAATCACGTGATAGGTCACATGAATAATATCTTAGTCATTGAGTTTATCGATAACGGTTTCCCGTTTCTATTTTGGGCAACTTCAACATCAGAAGGAAGATGGATATGAACACCCCTGCAGAGCGAAGCGGAATACACTTGGGATGGACCAGGCTGTACCAGGTCCTGCTCCGACGAAACTGGTATTTCTCTCCCAAATTCCAACGTATCCCGTGAATTTTAAGGTTCGATTCCTAGGATGGTATGTTGTGCATGCTCTGGTTCTACTTCAGCGCCAATGGTATTAACATCACACGCGCAGTGTCTCGAAATACAACACCACCACTGGTCGCCTGACACTCCATCATAACTATAGTGTGCATGGGCTAGAATCTCAAGTTTCCCATGTAGAGGTTGACATTAATCTTCTACTGGAAGATACCCATCACACAAGCCTTCAAATAGGCGTCTGGCTTAATATTTTTGGATATATACGCGAGGAGAATCCTGATGACTATCGCAGAAGAGAGAGGGAAAGTACTCGCAGAAGCAGCGAGAAAGAGAACCATATATCGACTGATCGACCCGTCTATGTCCAAGCAGTGACGATTCTACCGGCTGGACCCGTTCGAATCGGAGAATATGAAAGGATCCTACGAGACATGCAGCGAGTTGAAAGAAGAGTATATGATGATCGAATAATATAGAACTTGGCTGCGGAGTTATCATAATGAGCCTTACATACCCTCATGCAAAACCATGATTATAAATATATCATTATGCTGTAGGCTAATAGAGTGGAAAGTTCCCATTTACTCCCTTAAATGAGAATTGATATCTACACGCGAAATTGATTGAAGTACAAGAACACACAACCAATAAATCATAAACAGTTACAGTATCTGGCAGAAAGACAGGGTAGATTATAGGGTATCAAGTAACGATGGAACGAAACATGCTTGGCGAATGTCATACATTATCATTCGGATCTGGCGATCGTATATCCTCCCCATAAGATTCATAGATGTCTGGGCCAAAGACCTAGTGTTAATAGAAAAAGGGAGAGAAACATTTGAGGGGAAACATCACTGATTGATAACCCTCAGAGTCTGTCGTGGGTTTAACATGACGCCCAGGAAAGTTGGTTCCTGCCCAGCCAGTAGGTCCTCCACGCTACTACTGGTAGATGGTCTTCCAGGTTGGGCTAAATGATCAAAGTTCCCACCACTGCTGCTTCTGGTGTGGTTGTATCGCTGGTTGTCTCCGCCTATCCAGGACATGCGTGCTGTAGTTACCGTTAAATTACCCGTTGAGCCGGTTGTCCCCAATCCACTACTACTCATATGGTCCGAGTACCGCGGCGGAAATGACGATATTTTATCTCCGTAACTCCCAATTGAAGAACGTTGTGTGGCTGCAAGATGACTCTTATAGATTGCTAGACGCCGGCGGTACAGCCAGGTGACGAAGCCAAGATATATGGCCAGAACACCAAGACATCCAGCAATGACGCCCGCGACTATTGCTGCGATGTTGGGCCCGTCTCTACCGCCGCCTGGTGAGCCTGCATGCGGACCGGAAGCGGCTGTTGGAAGGACAGTGTATGTAAGAGGCTGGCCGGTGGCTAAAGGCCCATCCGTTGGTGCCACAGCAGGGACCGTTTGGGTTGCCTTTCCAGTTTCATCGCCTCCTATCACAGATTGGACAACTTTCGGGACTCGGTATCCATAGCTACCTCCAAGACCACTACTATCTCGAGTCTGTGAGGCCTGCTGATTCAAATCATTTCCGCCTTCGAGTGCAGTATATTGGGTTTTCCACGTCAATTCTGACGCATCAAATACGTATATACCTGGGCTATCACAACTCAAGTCTTGTCCCACGTAGCCTCCTGTCACCACAATTTGGGAGTTCCAAATGTTGCACGTATGTCCAGCTCTGGCTGGAGGGACAGACTGCCCATCCGTCTTAGCTTCTATCCATGTGAAACTTGGGATCGATAAAATCCACATATCGTTATACTGAATCTGTTCTCCATAGGGTATCAAATTTTGCCCACCAAAAAGGTAAACCTGTGTACTGCTTCCATCAGCTGCGGACGCAGCGACAGCGCATGGGTTCACCCTGATCTTCGGGGTCTTCCCACTAGTAGCTTGCTTGTACCATTTTGAACTTGCGATATCAAACACATCGATAACGTTCATTTGAGTCTAGGCGAATAGGTTAGCTATCTAGCCATATAACCACAGACAAAAGAGGGGAAAAGAGAGAGAGAGAGATTATTGGGTCACCTACAAAAGTAGCATTTGTACCCCCAGCAAGGCCGAGGATGATGCCTTCCTTACCAAAACCAGGTATATACACCAACACTCCATCAGCTCGTTCGGTAAACCCTGCAGAGTCCTGTAATCCTCCTTCGGTGATATTTCGCCAGACACCCTCGGGTCCAGCGCGCTTATCATCTGTGTTTATTTTGACTCCGTTGTTTGTATGTCCCGGAAAGGTATATTCGATCATCGATTTGAGATACACTCTAGGAATCGACTGTGACCAGCCCTTGGTGGTATATCCATCTAGATGGCCTCCAAAGTACCAACCTCTGCCTAGATCCGGGACATTTATACCGGCTCCCTCGGCGGATCGTTGCACAGGGATATTTGCTTCAGCAGAATTCTCTCCCGACGAAGTTTTTGGTGACTTGTGTTCTATCCATGACGACGAAGGAATGTTGTACTCCCATAGACTAAAATCAACGGGGTCAGTGGCAGGGTTATCCGAAAACTCTCCTCCGTATAGGAAGAGCGAACTAAAGGAGTTCCATAGGTAGCCGTTCGAGACTGGAGGCGGGCCGTTATCTCCTCGAGGAAGTCCGGTCAGCTTTGGGGCCGAGATTCCCCAGCTTGACTTTAGGTCCAGAGTGAGGAAGTTGTCATCTAGCAAGTTGGGTTAGCCTTGGGTATCCCGAAGCCAGGGAAAGGATGGATATTCATACTCCAAGTGTTATCCTTCTGGCTGGCATCAGTCGTCGATCGGCCGCCATATATGTAAAGGGTCCCGTTGACAATAGCTGTCTGCTGAGACCACCGCTTGCATATATCTGTAGGGCTATTGTCTCGCCGAGCTAGAGTCCTCGCGTGAGCATGTTGGCCTTGTTGCGGTAGTATAAATCCAACAAGCAGTACGAGCAGGAGGTACGTCATGGACGCAGACTTCGATGCAAAACGACCGGCCATCGACACCAGCACCGACATCTTATTTTTTACCAACAATCACCATAAACCAGCATGGCCAGAATGTAAATAAAAGGGCAAAAAATAAGACCGCGCCGTGCAGCGTGAGGGATTCCAGGGCGGTTTTGAAGAGGTTTCTCGATGAAACACTCCCAACAAAGGAGCTTCTTTCCGTGAGAACCTTCAAGATATAAAATGAAAGAAACGAGAGACGCGCAGAGAGAAATACGGAAAATACAATGGGGAGAGAAACGAGAGCGATCGACGGAAGAAGCCGTCAGTGTGTCCCAGGCAAAAGAGAAAGCTGAATTGTTTTTTTCCCCTTCAAGCTGGATGGAGGCTGAGGGGGGAGCAATGTCTCAGATCGACTTTGCTGGGCTGGCTGTGTACGTAGTTACGACGTGCTACTATTTACGGAGTGTTATTGTATCTTCACACGAAGCATGCGTCAACCGCCACATGGTGGGACTGCGAGTCACTTGAATAAAAATCCGAAACCTCGCAGGTCGCAGCAGCTGCGTACCTCTTTGTCATTGCTCGGTCTTCACTGTCTATTTCGCTGGAGTGGGAGCGAATATTCGGCCTCGAATATCATGATGGCCTAACTAGAGAACAATCTCCCCTTCTGCTGCGTCGGAGGCACCAGCTGAATAGAGAGGAATCCATGAGGGACGATCAAGCAAAGCGTTCACCGATAGTTACCTACCAGCACCCCCTGTTGACAGCAAGAAGAAGACATCCAGCAGTCATGCAGGGAGTCGTTTTTTTATTTTTTGGTTGGCTGGTTGGTTGGGTTGATCTATGCAGAAGCACCCTCGAGTTCATGTCACGGCAGCAACAAGAAGGATGCATAAAACATCTCTTCGCTGCAGGCAAAGGTTCAATAATACTACTGATCACTCATCTTGCTACCTTTGGCGCTCCTTTTTGGTCGTATCGCCTTTACTCCGTACACAACACGCTCGGAAATCCAGCTGCGATTAAGCGCCAAATACTCATCCCCCACACCGACTCAAAGTCATCCATCCGCTGATAAACATAGCTAAAAAGTCAGCTCTCTAAAAGAAAAAAAAATGGCAGTGATCTTCAGTATGGCTCTCTGTTGTTATGACCCCTCGGGAGTTCCTTCATCACACCCATTGCCACACCTTGCCTCAGCCCTAACCCTACTACACCCAGTTTCTCTATTGCCGGCCGTCCGGCTGTTTACCTATAGTTGAGTCAGCAAAGTAGTCCAAAGGTAGCTATAACACTATCAATGCTTCCTTATTCCACTTATCCTAACGCTTCTATAACCGACTTTTATAGAGCGAATCTTTTTATAGTAAGTGGTTGCTGTGGGGGCTGGAACGTGCGTGCGCCGTTTGGAAGCTAAAACTCGTTAAACTTGAATAACACAAGCGACGACAGGCGCGCTTTGGTAGCGAAACAAAATATGTAGCTTGTAAAGGGAGGCCGAATGACACGAAAACAAGAGGTCTGTCTAGATGTTCTAGTACGGGATATACATCACTAGAAATTTAGTCCTGGCTAGTCGTTGAGAAGAAGAGCAAGACAAAAAGAGCTACAATCATGTATAATGGCATGAAATAGATTGTTCAAACGACTAATCTCCATTATCGAATGTTGATATTATGTCATGTATATTCCTGGTTCTAGTTCTCAGCCTGTTTATACCAGTACGGTCCTAATATCTGACAGGGCCTGTTCATGACAGACAGGCTGATCGATGGGTAATGTCGGCTCGATAACTGTGGTCTCGCCTGTACACTGGTCTGACTCGCCCTTCCTGGGAAGTTCAGGCAGGCATGATTAGAGAATACCCCAAACGAACGGGGCTGACACAACTCCTGCGTCGCCAGAACCTAGCATCTTGTACGCCAGGTTTTGAGGGGGCTTCTCGTATTGTGTGGCCGTCCTGGAGCATTGCCCTTCTGTTGTAATTCGATATGCGCACACCGCTCATTCTAGGGTTGTGCTTGCTGCCGCCTCATGTCTAGAATGTCCCTCCTGAGTTTCTCAGCTGCAATCTCAACATCCAAAGTTCCGCTCACTCCCCGTCTCCATGTATCTTCCAGAGCCGCTAGTTCTCCCCTGACGCTCTCTTGCTTTAGCTTCCTCTCTCGATTAACTGCCTCCGTGGCTTCAGTGGTATCATGCAGTTCCTTTTCAGTGCGTCGCAGGATCTCCTCTAACTGCATGTTGCCAATCAACCACGCGTTCTTGCCATGGGCTTCTAGCAAAGCTAGGTTCTCCTTTCTGGTGGACAGATGAAGGTGTGCAGCGTATGCGCGTCGCAGAGTCTGCCTCCAGTCGTCTATAACGGTGGCAGGGTCGGCGTTCGGGTCTGTGGAGAAGGGGGTATCTCTGGAGCTTCATATCGAGACAGATCAATTCCTCCGGATATGGGTTCATTCCTCGCCTTTCTCTCAAGCTCCTGCTCTATCAGAGGCGAGAACTTGGTCGGCGGGAGCTCTGGCAGAGATGGATGGAGAGTCGACCGGTAATCTGCAGGGAGCTCGGCGTCAATGAGTCTGCTGAGCTCTGCGCGCACCTGAGGCGTCACGTCCTCGTCGATGTCTGGAAACTGGGTCAGTCCCCTCTGCTTTCCTGTCTGCCGTGCGCAGTCCCAGTGTACTACTTACATGGAAGTGAATCATGCGTCTCGTTGATCAGCGACATCCTGCCTGCTCTTGTCTCTCTTTTTTTCGTCCCTTTCCCCCTTTCTATCGCCAGCTGCTGCTGCTGCTGCGCCTTCTCGTCCGCTTCTCCTTCTCATCGCTGCCTTCAACTTTTCCGCTTACGGATGTCTTGGCCCGGCAGCAAATGGTCACATGACACTGGGCTAACCCAGTTGGGGTCGATTACCTAAGTTCCACTATTCCGAACTCGTATCTCTGTCGATCATAGTCACGTGGGTTGTTATTTCCGCCTTACCTAAGCAGATTAACTTTTACAGGCGGGCGGCGCCTGGGCCTCGCTTTCACGTGTTCCCGTCGGTCCGACGTCGAGTGAAACTCTGCTTCGACCTCAACCTTCTCTCTCCGCCGTCTCACTGAGAAACCAACTTTTGTGCGCAGGCCGATCCATGCATAATAGGACGTGCAGCGAACTTGGCAGGCATCTGGATATCACCAGGTGTGCTGGCCGACACGACAGGCATCGGGGCTCGCTGTCGAGCTGGGACAGTCACGCCGGCCGTACATGAGCAACCGCTGCTTAGATTGAAGCTAAATAACTACACCGCGGGGACTCCAGAGTCAATATCTCGTTCTTCCATCTCCAGTTCGGCCACGGAGGTTCGTCAACAGTAAACGAAAACGGCAATCTTGACCCACACTTTTATGTTGATTAAGATCGGCCCCCGCAAAGCTTTCTGTCCAAACAGTCGAAAAAAAAAGGGTCTAAAAAAGAAAGTTTGCAGCTGGAGAACCAACTGGGCCCACCCGTATAAAAGGGGACCTGAATCGTGGAGTCAAACAACTTTTCGTTGCTGTCTCCAGGACCTGGCATTTTAAGCGATAGTCAACGTGCTTTTTGCCTGGTGGCAAAAAAGGCCAGCGGTCCTCGAAACATCAGGCAACTGCTTTTAAAGCCCCCCCCTATTTCTCTCTCTTCCTGGCCTCGAAATTTGGTTTTCCAGGACAACATACAGAATCCAACCATGCCACCACGCACGGGCACTGTGGTCGGTATATTTGGCGTCCTTTTGGGCGTCATCTTAGCTGTCCAGCTCGCTTTCAACTTTCATGGAACCAGCCGGGCCAATCAATTCAGTCGTTCTCTGCCTCTTCAGTCAACCCGCGCTGATAAGTCAGCCACGGAGGATGACATATTCAACGTCGGTATTGGAAAGGCCGATGTTACCGGGTATAGTGAACTCATTATTTCTTGGGAATATCTCTCCTGGCATAATCTAATCATATCCGTAGGCCGGTTGTAGAGATCGTGTTTATGGGATTTGCTGATTCCGAGCAAAAGGGAACTGGTCTTCGTCAGCGTCTTTACTCTCGTGCTTTTATCATCGAGAACCCCAACAAGCCAGATGATACCTTTATTTACCTCGTTACCGATCTCGCTGCTGGCGATACAGCTGTGAGAGATGGTGTCCTCAAGGGACTTGCTGCCATGGGGCCAGAGTACTCTCGATACGCATCTCACAATCTCGCTCTGACCGGAACCCACTCCCATGCTGGCCCGGGTGCCTGGCTCAACTATCTGCTACCCCAGATTCCCAGTGCTGGATTTGACAAGGCCACCTACCAAGCCATTGTCGATGGTATACTTCTTTCTATCAAGAGAGCTCACGAGGCTAGGACCCCAACCCGGCTGAGCTTTGATACCAAAGACCTTGTCGATGGCAACATTAACCGAAGCCCATTCTCTTACTTGGCTAACCCTGAGGAGGAGAGAAAGCGATATCAGTATGATACCGACAAAACCCTCAGTCTTATACGGTTTGATCGCGTATCGGATGATAAGACCACTGGTATCTTGACCTTCTACTCTGTTCACGGAACTTCTCTCTTCGCAAACAACACACTTGTTTCGGGCGACAACAAGGGTGTCGCCGCCTACCTTTTTGAAAGAGCTGCCAAGGGTGATGACCGATTTGCCGATGGTTTCATTGCGGGATTCTCCCAGTCTTCCGTTGGAGACACGTCTCCCAACACTTTGGGCCCCTTCTGTGAAGATACTGGCTTGGACTGCAAATTTGTATGACCGATCATCTTGCATGTATTATTATCGCTCTTAGTTTGATAACTAACTCTTTTATAGGAAGACAGTACCTGCGGAGGCAGCACCGCCAAGTGTCACGGACGTGGCCCCTTCTTCCGTGAACTCGATCAAGGAACTAAGAGTTGTTTCGAAATAGGACGTCGTCAATACAACACCGCAAAGGAAATTTACGAAAACATGGACACTTCTGCAAAGAGAATCAGAGATAACTCTGCCGTCAAGTCTTTCCATGTCTACCAAAACTTTGATGGATACACATTCCCATCGCCATTTAACCCTCGAAAGACTTTGACTACTTGCTCAGCAGCTTTGGGCTACTCTTTCGCCGGAGGTACTACTGATGGACCAGGAAGATTTGACTTTACTCAAAACGGCACTGATTCGCCCAGCACAAAGAACCCTATTTGGCGCATTGCAAGAGATTTCGTACACGCCCCCTCCAAGGAACAAATTGCCTGCCAGAAGCCCAAGAAAATCCTCCTTGATATCGGCGATCTCACGTTCCCCTATGCCTGGGCCGCCAACATCATTGACATCCAAGTCTTGCGTGTTGGGCCCTTGTTCATCATTGTTGCCACTCCCGAGGTTAGCACCATGTCCGGACGTCGTTGGAAGCAGGCTCTTTCAAACAAAGCAAAGGAGATCCTGGGCGTGAGCAACCCACTCGTTGTTCTAGGGGCACCATCAAACACTTATGCCCACTACGTCACAACAGAAGAAGAGTATGGCATCCAGCGTTACGAAGGCGGCTCTACACTCCATGGTCCGAATACACTTGCTGCTCATGTCAACCTTACCCTTACCTACCTCCCATTCCTTTCTGCAAGCTCCAACAATCACCCGGACCCAGGCCCATACCCACCAATCAACACTGAGAAGTCCCTCAGCTTCATTGCCGGTGTGGTCCATGACAACCCCCCGATTGGCAAGAAGTTCGGCGACGTTCTCAAAGGTCCGGAGATGGGCAAGACCTTCCGTCCTGGCGACACCGTCAAGACTACTTTCGTCGGTGCCAACCCCCGCAACAACTTCAGACTGGAGAAGACCTATACCACTGTTGAACGCCAGGTCCCTAACTCTAACAGATGGGAAGTCGTCCGAGATGATTTTGACTGGAACTTGGTATACCGCTGGGAGCGCAAGCGTCCAATCATTGGAACCAGCGAGGTTACCCTTGAATGGACTATCGAGGACGACTACTACTCCATTGATAACAAGAAGAAGCTGGAGAGTGGAACTTACCGCCTCCACTACTACGGTGACTCGAAGGCTCCTGTTACGGGGCAGATCACTGCCTTTGAAGGCATTGGACCCGCCTTCAAGGTTGAGGCCTAGTACGATGGCCTATGCCTATAATTAATATATTCATTTTCGGCTATTCCTTATTTACTTTTTATTCTATTTTTCGATGAATACGAGAAGTGAAGATGGAATGCACCGTACAGTTTTCCATCTATTGTATATATCCAGGACTAATAATATAAGTCTGTATATAGGTCCGCTCTCCTCACCATTTAACTTTACAGAACTTCTTGACATGCCCCCATTCAACCTTGTATATCCCTTGAATATATCAAAAAATCTAGCTATTTGACAAGCTTTGCAATTATATTGAATAGCTTCCCGAGCAAAATAAAATGCAATGCTGCCTTGCACGAGGTGTATAAACCAATCGGGCTCTCAATTGACAGTGCTCAACGTCTAATTGAAAATTAACAAATTATCCCGGTTTATATATACCCCAGATATTGCTCATCTCCAGATTATGCACGATGGTCCGAATGTTACACGGCGTCTCCACTAGCTTTTGGTGGCCGACCTCTTTAGTTCGTTTTCCTAGTTCATATCGCGGATATTAAGACTCGCTTTACCGGCGTTCGTCCTCGGTTAAGTACTTCCCCTCAGGGAGCCCGGGGTGTACTCCGTGGTTAGTTACGTAATTGATGGACATTGGACCATCTCAGAGTCTTTGGGCTTTCTGCTTCGTTTGGTTCTCGATAACAAGGCAACAGTTGAAATGACAGAACATCCCTTCCCCCTTTGCCATGTCGGAGAAAGATAATCAACCACTCCACTCATGAGCACAGCATACCCCTACAGATGAAGCATCTCAGACCGGACACAACATGGATCATCATCCTGAAAAGTAAAGCACACATCCCCTACATCATTTTCATGGCTTGTCGCTGTTGTCGCCCTCTCTCTCTTCGGCGCTTAGAGCAAAACAGTATCACGTGATGTTAGGTTTGTTTCATGCTCTGGCCAATCAGCGCGCGTCTACCATTGGCTTCCCGCCATGTTTGAGACGCAGCAAGCAAAGGAAAAGCTAAAGATAAAAAGTGATATCGAGAACGGACATCCAACCATTTGCCGCCGACCATCTGACTTCATGCAACTTCAGGCCAGATGGAGGCCAACCTATATATATCAACCAGTAATACTGACGGCATCCACCCCCTAACCTGGACTCAGACAATACCCAAGGACAAGAACCCCTTGTTTTCCAGGGGAATGAAAACATCTACATGTTTCCAGGAGATGCTGTTTATCTAGGCGCTTCGCGATGGAACATCACTTTCTTCTTCGTTTGCTGGCCTGGTTTAGGATGTTTATACTTAAACCTCAGCAAATCCTTTCTCTCTTCATCATTTCTCGTACCTGTATATTCGCCACTTTTCATTTTGATAGCATCTTCAAGACTTTGTCTGGGACAAAGCGCCTCGTTCGTTATAATATCATCGTTTGATTTAGTTAATCAAATAGAAGGATTTACAACCGATCTTCCTTCTGCCATCTCTCTTTCTGAATCACTTACTACTCCCTTTTTTCAGGCCCCTTTGACAGCTGGCTTCCAAGATGTTCAACCTACGGTTTATCCTGGGCATAATATCTCTCGCCTTATCATCTCATGTTAATTCCAGTCCGATACATCGTCCTCGACG